TTTTTTTTTTTTTGCGTTATGTTAATTTGTTATCTTCAAAGGAAATACCCATCTTGGAATTTAGGCGTGCATGTATTGTGAGTTTGTCTGCTCTTCCATTTTCGATGCATCTTCTTCGGTGGGGGTGTGTCATTTTATTTTCTGCAGCTGATGAGCTGTTGGCGCTTGCGTAAAGGAAATACCCACTGATTCCAGCAAGCATAGATTGAAAAAAAAAATCCGAAATTCCTTCACGAAGTATATTCTTGCATGTTTTGTTCCATCAAATTGTGACGATAAAGATAGTTGTGGCCAACTCCAGCCAAATTGACTTGTATGAACGGGTTCTGTGTTTGCAGGGCAGCTTCAATTCCGAGAGCCAAGGGTGGTGCATGTCTTCAATTGAAATTGGCTTACAGTCACTTGACGCCCCTTATTCTGCTTTTGCTTCAATGGATGGATTGTTCCTGTACCTGTCTACTCCCAAGATATCTAAACCTTTTTCATATACTTGTATACAAGGTTGGTTTCTTTTCCATATACTTGTATACAAGGTTGATTTCTTTTCTTTTCCATGGAATGTTAAAACAATAGTTCATAAAGTTAAGTTATTCATGTTTTTCCCCCGCAAGTTAAGTTATTCATGTTTTGTGTTTTTTTAATGATTAAACAGGTTTATGCGGATGGACGACCCAAAATTGCTTCATACGGAAGGAAGGCAACAATTAGGGAATTTTATGGTCTGTAAACCGCCCACATGTTTTCTTTTTCTGATGTCTTAATAATTCTACTTAGCTGTCCTTCATTTATCTTTTTCTTTTTCCTCTTTTGAAAGAAGATAACTGAAATTTGTTATTACTTTTTCATGCCTAACTAAAATCCATTTGCAGCTGTTATATTGCCATCTCTCCAACAACTCCATGGTAAATCAGTGGAGCTAGGCATAACTCAAGAAAAGAGCCGTAGGATGGAGATGATTGGAAGGAATTTGGATGAGAGGAAGAAGCTCTCCGATGTGGACTTGGAAAGAGAAGATGAATGTGGGATTTGCATGGAACCATGTACCAAGGTGCTCCTGCCTAGTTGTTGCCATGCAATGTGTATTAACTGCTACCATGACTGGTAAGTATAATATCCCTCTTTCAATTTTCTATTTCAAGTGATCCATTAAAAAAATTCCATCTCAAATGGTTTATTAAGATATTGAAATTAAGGAGTAAAACTTTGTTGACGCTTTTTTTTTTTGTAAAAATTCACAGGAATACAAGATCGGAATCCTGCCCTTTTTGCCGGGGTAGCATAAAGAGAGTTAAATCAGGAGACTTGTGGGTGCTAACAAGTAGTGGTGATGTCGCTGACGCAGAGACTGTAGCCAAAGAGGATCTGTTACGCTTCTACCTCTATATCAATAAGCTGCCAAAAGATATCCCAGACACCCTTTTCTTAGTGCATTATGAGTACTTAATCTGATCAAAAGGAGATTATAAGTGCAATGTACAGGAACTCTTGATCTGATCGGAAGAATTTGGGAAGAATGATGTACAGAAAATGAAAAGCCGACCTTACAATGTGAAGAGTCTGGTGAGGGAAAATCTCTTAGTTTCTTACATGGAATTTTCCCAAGCAACTTTATACTTGTTTAGAATAGTACAAAGCCTCATTTAAGGGGTTCAAATAAAAGTAAATGAATATCAAGTATCTTATGAAGCTTAAATTCAGCTTGTTTGTTCTTCTTACTTTAATTTGTATGCAAAGTACTTGGAGGTATCGAAGGCTGTGATGCCCCATTGTACATTCTATGTGAAGCTCACCTGTAGCATAGTGATTTATAACTCAAAACCTGCTTTCTTTTAACTTTCTGGAATGACCATTTATGAGAATGGTACTGGTGGAAGTGCAGCACATGTATGGCCTGTCTAAACTAGGCTGACATGTGATAAGATGCTTCATCTGAAGTGGCATACAGTTTTTCCCCTTCTCATGTTGCTATTTCAAAAGAAAATAAAAGTTATTTACTTTTTGCTTTCACGTGCTGGGATATGTTAATTTGCTATATGTGTGTATATGTATTGATATGCCTATATTATCCTTGTCATCATCATAATCAAAGCCTAGGCTGACATGTGATAAGATGCTTCATCTGAAGTGGTATACAGTTTTTTCCCTTCTCATCTTTCTACTTCAAAAGAAAACAAAAGTTAATTACTTTTTTCCTTCATGTGCTGGGATATGTTAATTTGCTATATATGTGTGTATGTATTGATATGCCTATATTATCCTTGTCGTCATCATTTAAGCCTTGTCCCAACTATATAGACATCATAGACATGTTCCCATACTTTTATCTGTCTACACATACAATCTATAAACATATCTTTGGTGTGTAGTCTTTCCTTAGATCCTCAAACTCTTTGGAATTGGTTTTCATGCAGACATGAGAAAACAGGCTTCTGCAGCTATATAGAAGTATACAATTGAACTGAATAAATCCTTTCTCAACTACTTGGGGTTAGGAGCAGTTAATCCTGTTTTGCCATTCCATTCCATCAAGTTCTTGTCTCAGTTAACCTATGGGTCCTCAGATGTTTCCTCAGTACATTTTTTTTGATAAAAGGTTAACTTTATTTGAAATAAGAAAGGTACATGAGGAAATGTTTCCTCAGTACATCAACCCACAAGTGTTTTAGTCTCATCCAACCTCTCCTTTGGAGTCTCAAGTTACAAGGGGTCCTTTTACTGCTCTTTGTAGGTTGATGGCAGAATATGCATCTTATGCTCAAATTACTCGTGAGGTGATACAATGCCTCTCCTGCCTCTTTAACCCTCAAGTTGTATCAGGTCTTCTTACTGCTGTTTGAAGGTCAATAGTAGAATATGTATCCTATGCTCAATTTACTAATGAGGTGACACAGTGCTCTCAAGATTCACCAATAAAGAATATAAAAATACAGCCAGATAATATAAGACCAAGTAAATTGACAAATACATTGATATAATTATTAATTCCTTCTCACTGCAAGCAACATGCAACATCAATATTGAAGCTTCAGGACAACTTTTCAGGAACAAAGGAGAGGTGGTTAAAGCATTTTCTGGCCTTCTTGGAGAGGCAGAAGCAATAAAGGAAGAAACACTATCCTTGTTGCATAGACTTAGAATTGGCTATTCCCCAAACATGATGTAGAAGGAGACTCATAAGTGGCAATATGTTGGGCGAGAACAGCATCTGATAGCAGTCCTTGGGTAATGCAACACTATATTAGAGAGGGAAGGTTGCTGGCTGATTGCATGAACATATCATCCAGCAGGATTCCTAAATCATCTAACTAATTAGCAGATGCTCTAGCCAGGAGAGGGTTGATAGGGACTCTTTGTAATGGGAGATGGCCAGATGGGGTTTACTGGGTAACCAAACTTGAAAATCTATAAATTGTTAGCATGTGCATAACTATGTTTGGTTTCTGTACTCAGTTTTTCCTCTCATGCAGGAAGGTCTGTACACTTAAGTGTTTTATTCTAGTAAAACACTTTGGTCCTGATAAAAAGAAAATTGTTGAAGCTTTTGGAGGTGGAGATTATAATTGGACTAGAAATACTTTTTCTGAGATTTTTCTTAACAGTTCAGAGTTTGGACATCCACCCAATAGAGGGGTATTGTCACAAGAACAAGGGTAGGAAACTTCTGGGGAAACTTTTGAGGTCTTTGGGCACCATTGAGTATGGTTTCTTGAAATATAGAAATAGTTATTATTTGGTTTATTGGGCGTCTTCATTAAGGTTTGAGTCCGAATTGTTTTGACCATTGTTAACTGATGCAGCTATATTCCTTCATTTCAAATAGGAAAGAGAAAATTGATCTATAGTACGATAATGTGATCTGTTGACTTTCTCCCCATGCTGGTGTTTTATACTTATTTTTTCGTCTTCTTTTTATTTCTTACTTGCACATTGCACTTCTCCTTAAAAAGCAGCCATAAAGGAATATGAAGAAATGTTCAATGAATTATAGAAATTCCCCAAGTCAGCTTATCTAGACTTGGGTGATGGAAATTTACTTGCTACATTATTGCAAATGGAACTTGGTGTCACTACCAATGAGTATAAAAGAAAGCAAATTTATACATAAAAGCTGGATGCGACTTTTGAGCATTCACAATTCTTTTACTCTTTGCCAGCAACGGTTGAGGAATCATAGATGCCATATTCCTATTGAGTGAATGAACAGTTGAAACATGTTGGAGGAAACAATAGTAACTGGGTGGATTACTAGTTGCTCTCTGGCAATATTAAATTTCACTAGTTCTCACCACAAAGAATTGTTGCCAGCGCACCATCAAGTGTTATCTAGGTAATAGTATGGTTTATAGATGCTTTGACAAGGGTTGCTCGGGCTTTTTGAAGAATGCATTCACTTTGCTCTTATGTGGTTGCTTTGTGCTGTTGTGCATAGGCAACATGTTCTGATGGGAAACCATGATACAATGCTTGTGTTTTCCCCCTTTTTAAATGCTCCTGTGTACACAATATATCATTTCCTGTAAAGACAAGGCAATGCAAGTGTGCTATTTAGCATGTATCCTGTAACGGAATAACATGTCTTCCTTCAGCCATAAATTATTCAGAACTTCATAACTTTTTGCTGTTTTGTCAGTCTGGGATATTTGATGTAACAGGGATTTTGTTTCATGTTATTTGATGTACTGATCTGTTAGATAAATGCCAAAGTTATGCTTTTCATATTTGTAGAATTTCTTTTGCAATCACTAATTTTTTATCTTCTTGTTCTTTTGCTACATCTTATATAGGAAATATTACATATACTAATGGTTGGTCAGAGCTCAGTTTGAAATTCTAAACCAGTAGCCCAGTTGCCTTTTTTTAATGATGGTTCACAAAGCTACCATATTTCCAATTTTCATCTTTGTGGACATTTATTTCTGATGGACTCTCAGAGAAGGGTAAAAGAAAGGCCTTTGATTGTACTAGTAACAGGAACGCATAATAGGGGAGAAGATAAGCTACATATGAAAAGAAAAAGGGTCATATCATTGCCCTATCCCTTTTTCTTTTGCATTATTTAAGAAGACGTGCTATATCTGGGGTAAACTGGATGCAAAACTAACCTTTGGCATTTTTTTTTTTGACATATAGTGGCTGTTCTCGGACTTCAACATGTCTTAGCTTGAGATTTTACCATTGAACCAAGCAATGGTCCCTTATTTTTTGCATTATTCAAGCATCACCCAATTTAGCAACCAATATGGAGCTATTGGAATGAATCATGCGTGTTTTTCACATCTAAATTTGGATAAAACAAGATACCATCTCTGAACTGCAGCCATAAGCCCATGACATATAAAATTTAGCAAATTCCCAATTTTACAAAGCAATTAGGTAGGTGTTACCAAATACATCAAAAAAGGCTTTTCTGACATGGAGCTACATCTTGCTTGGACACTTGGACTTATCTAACTGCCTATTTAATCTGTAGTCCAGAAACAAATGTAACTTGATGTTCAATCACTTGGCGTGGATAATTCCAGTCTGGCCCCTCACTGACAGTGTCTTTAGCTTTGCACCAGTTGGGATTCGACTCTTGGGTCTAAGCAGGTTATCTAGAAATAATTACGTTGGAAGCTTGTATCTAACGGTGCAAGTTTGTCTTGGCAGTGTTGCCCCATCTACACCATCTGAATGACCCACCAACACCAGATTTCTAAAGCATGTACATGACATGAGTTTTGTTTTCTTCCTTGAAGAGTTCACTGAATATGGTTCTTCTAGTTGTTCAAGTTATTTTGGTGGATGAGCAAATTTCTGCTAGTTAAAGAAAACAATGGGTGGTCCAAAAATTTCACTTAGACGTCCAGTACTCCGCAGAAAAATGGTATAAATTGTTTTTGGCCATATCTTGATCCTTTATATGCCATTTGACCTCTGGAGTAGGTCTTTAGCTAAAGATTCTCAAAGTAAGCTGTTCAGGGTTGGTAATAAAGAATAAATTAGACTTTTTTCTTATTCCCCAGGTAATCATCATAGTGCTCGAGCTCGCCCAAGTCTGGATGGTTTTCTTAACCTCTTCATTTAGATTAGGTTAAGGAGGTTTACGTTTATAGCTAATACATGTATACCCATTTGTCGAGGCTTCAATCCATCTTTGTTCTTAACTGCTTTTCAGCTGTCGCCTTTCTTACATGACCTTGGGGATGCATCTGATGGTAAGTGAGAATATTTGCTGCAGATGCAAGTAATACTTACAAAGCTAAGCCTTCAAACTGAAGTTTAAAATGACGTGATACATGGTTAGAATCCTCATTGCCATAGAAGCTTGTATAGTAATGTGCTTGAACAGTTCTGTGATGGACTCATTTTTTATGTTTGGTGTCCAACGTACTGTTCATCTCTTCTTTATGTTCTTTTGTAATTATACTCACAGTTCATCAATGAAATGCTTCATACCGTTCAAATTTGACACGTCTTTCGGCTACACACAGCAATATGGAATCTGCGAAGACCAATCTGTATAAGTTATTAGCATTAGTGACGGATGTTATCATCTCCAGTAAGCAATTTAGACTTTAGATGACTAATTTTGTTTTTTTTTTTTAAGTCGGGAGAAAAAAACATAGCAGTTGGAACATCAAATCAGGCCTGAAGAGCATATTTAATTGAGTTCAGATGGGTTTCACAGAAATTTGCACGTGGTTCAGTTTTGCATCAATTTGGTTTATAATTAAGATTTGCACTTCTGCCTGATGCAAAACTTGCACCTTTTTTTTATCTCATTTGTACTTAATTGGTTTATAGGTGTAAAATTTGCACCACCTTTCTCCTACCTTGGTTATTTCTTATATAAAGTGGTTATTTTACTTTCAATTTTACTTCTAATAAACAAAAACCAGAATTTGCACTGGATCCACTTTTGACTCCCATGAATTTATGATTTACCAGAAATTTTCACCGCAAACAAACGGAGTCAAAACAGCAAACACTAGAAAACGTGAAATGGGAGATGGGCTGAAGAAGACATCAAATACGTATGTATATGTTATTATCTAATGTTCCTTCTGTTAATGGGCAAACTACGAAGCTAACTACCATGAAGCTGCAGAGAACAAGTGACACGATCATGAAGATGATTTTTGTACCCCAAAAATAAAAAATAAAAAATCATGAAGATGATTTAGTGATGAACAGGCAACTAAGAACGCTGATACTACCAAGTACCAACTAAGATAAAACTAAGGTCAATTGCCATGAGTTCTGCGACTCATCAACACACTAAATGGAGGATGACTATAGCTACGATGGAGGAATAAGTCAGCAGTGGCCTTGTACATGGCTTCCGTGAGGTGGACACCGTCCCAGTTGATGAACTGGGCAGGGTTTGAACAAGCTGTCGATGCAGCTGGTGAACCACACGTAGCAAATGGAACGAAGTTGTAGGGGTCTCCGCCAGAACCACAGCAGGTCTTGAATGGCTCCTGGAATCCATACTTGTGATGGTTCTTGATAATCGCATGGTAGGCACTGAAATAATCTGCATAGGCGATGATGGCGTCTGGGTACTGCCTCCTGAGACCTTGCAGCTTGTCTTGGAGGGCGGAGTTGTGCATGGAGCTCAGCATGTTTATACTCCCCACGCACCCAACATCGTCTCTGTCGGTAAGGAGAGAGAATTCCATGGCCATTGATAGGCAGCCCGTCATGGGTAGACCCTGAACCACCACGTACTTTGCCCCCCTCTTCAGCAATTCCTGCCAACCAGCCAGCCAATCTATTCATTAAGCAGCCCAGACAGAGTAGTATTCGAATCAGACAGATTTAAGTGCTTTGGTCTTTGGGCCGCTGGATAAATCATAAATTTCACCAACTCTACTCAATCTGAATAGTTTAGTAGGTTCAGAAGCTTTTGCCCATGAACCATGAACACCACTATGTTCAATTTATTATTAAACATTGGATCGAAAAAATGTTTAAATTTAATGAGTAGTTCTGGAGCTTCAGACTGAAGCCAGTGAAAAAACAACGACATGATGAGTTGATCAGAAAGGAAGAAGTTTACGCCAGCGAACCTGTAAAAATCCAGTAATGCTGTTGATAGCTAGATCTTGAATCGTTGTTGGTGACACTGTGGATCCAACGAGGTAAGCGTAGTCGTTCACTCCGATCTCGCCCACCCAAAACAGAGCATCGTCCAACGCTCTTCTGCACTCAGCTGATGATGACAATGTTGTTGTCCCTCCACATCCGTTGTCTTCCAAGAACTTGTTGAACCAAGTGAGCTGGGTGTGGAGAGACTGAGGGGTGCTATCAAGAGTGAGGTTGTTTATAACAAAGAAATCATGGTCAATCGCGGTAGACCCAGCAACTGCGAAATTGACGCCATGAGATGTATCAACGTTCTGGTTGAGGTAGGGTGGTAAGTAGGGTAGAGAGAATGCTTCCGCTACGAAGTCAATGACGAGACGGCCATCAGAGTAGCGGTTTGTGGGTTGATGAAAGAAGGTGGTGCCATAGGGAGGGCTGGACACATACTCGAAATTGGTTGGGCCAGTAGACGAGTGTGTGTTTCCAGTATCGGTATACGAGTCACCAAAGGCATAGATTTTTCTGAAACCATTTCCAGTTGTGAGAGTACTAGAAGTTGATAAAGAAAAATCAGAAACAAGTGAGACGAGGAAGATGGCGACGGTGGTGAGGGTCGCCTGCAGGCAAGACAGAGACGGAAGAGTAGAGCAGGAGCAGGAGGCCATTGTTTGTGTTTTGATGTTCATGGGCTTATGGATTGTGGAGCTTCTTGCTATATTATTATATATGCATGAAGACTGAAGTATGATGAACGGAGCTTTCACATAGATGATCACAGACGTGTGTCCTTTTCTTTTTGGTCATCAACGACGCCTTTGTGGGGATGTCAGTTCATTAAGAACCTATACGGAATAGCATTCAGTAACGTTGTCGATCTGGATATATTTCCGTGGAACCAGAAATCTTGCAATTAGATGGGAGGTGAGAGTTTTAAATCCTGCAATTGATGGTTGGTGTGGTGACGCCCTCCCGCGGAGCAGAACAGACGTCTATCCTTGGACCTGGGTTAGTTTGATTGTACTGATAGATAGAACGTAAAAGCCATGAGAGTTACAGAGGTGGAGGAGGGAGGTGAGAGTTTTAAATTCGACGTTAATGCACTGGTTTGGCTTGTGGAGACTGGAGGGCCAGATCTCTTTCACTCATTTATTATCATTGTCACTCTCTCCTCTCTTCAGAGTCCACTGTTACAGAGTACAGCTACATACAATTGATGGGGATGACTCTGGAGAGGAAAAAACTTTTGCTACCTCCTCCTAAAAAAAGTGAAATGAGGAAATTCGAGACCCCACATATAAGGAAAGAACATTTACTGAGATCATGATCGCGGCATAAATAAGTGTTTCATACGAAGTTCTGAATTTATTTCCTTTACTCCCCGTATGTTGATTCTTTAAATGTCTGTTTGGTGGTTGGTTTGGATCTCCTTGACCTTAATGATCTCAGTGGGCTGCACTGTTGCAGTGGCTAGAAATGATATAATTCCTTTTTCAAAATAAAAGGGTTTCTACTTTCTACTGATTGCATTTTTGAACAGACCAGATGGATCATCGGTAATTTCTCTCTTGGTGAAGAGGGGAAATGATGACTATTCCCTGGCCACCACCTCTTATGTTAATAATGTTCTTAGCTAGCCTCAAGGAAGGAAGCAATTTTCTCAGTAGTTAATAATAATTAATATGGGGATTTCAGGAATTACGTGCTTTATTTGGTATTAATGAATGACCACCATTTGTTGGGTGCTGCAGGTCGTAGATTTAGGTCATGTGGTCTGGCAGTGGAAGCAGAGCTGAATGCAATTCTTATGGCTCTACAGGACAGCCAAGGAGCAGGGATGGAGTTCTATTCCTGTTACTTTCTTTCAGTCGGGGAAAAGAGAAGAATATTCTTTGGTAAAGTCTACAGCCTATACATTTTTAGACAATGTTCTGTTTGCGGGCCTGAAAGGTTTAAATTTTGTAGATAGGAACCTTAATGGGCCAGCTCACTTGGTGGGTGGACCAACACATGAAGACTTTGTACAGCCAGGTCCAGCCACCTGGACCTATTTTTTTGGGGTTCGGGTGGCTAATGAAGTGATCCCATTTGTCAGGATCAGGGCAGTCTTAAATGGATTTCGGGTCGGTTGCTGGTTGAGATAAGCCATCACTAAATTAATCTGATTCGTTGGTACACAACATTGAAACATATGGGCTATTAAACAAAGTGATAAGAAATTAATATAGACTATAGAGCCTCCACCCACAAAGTCAAAGTAAATAAATATCACTTGACTGCAATTTCCACAGCTCAGGCTATATCTCTCTACTAAGCAAACCCAAATCTGAATGATAAAAAGTAAATATTTACAAAAGATAAAAGAAAAAAGAAAAAAAGAAAAATTAGAATTCATCACCATTGCTTTAGTGGAGTGCATGCAGAAAATCAGAATGAGTTAGATAGAAGCATAGTTTATATAAAGCCCACCCTCGATAACATGCTCGTCAGATCTGTTTAAGATCGCCGACGTTAATCTGAAAATGTTTTAGTGCTCAGGCCTAGAATCTGAGCAGGGTTGCCGTCTTTCTATAATAAAATCTTGCATATCCAAACGACCTATTTATGAAATTTAATATATTTTATAGTATTCCATTGATTCAACGATGGAGCATCTTCTCTATTAAAAGTAAAATACAACAAGCTTTGGGCGAGGGACACTGCATTCTAATCTCGAGTGCAATTTCTGACCCAATTCACTCACTTATAAGTTATAACCCATCTACCTATCGGGTGGATGTCTGGGTCGTATTTAGATGGATGGAGTGATGCGTTCCCATTGGGTTCCCTTCCTTATCTGTAGGTGGATTGGGTTGGGCCGCGATTTTTTTAAGTTTTTATTCATGTTATATTTAATGGGCTTGGGTAGTTACTGGTTAGTGGGTAGATTAATCTTCAACTTGGGAGCTGGAGACCCAACCAACCGAATCCACCCAAGTACGTCTGCCACTTCGCCACCTGATGAATCAATTTTTTGTGATAGTATCAATTTTTTGTGCTAAGTACCTCGTCATTTTGTCTGCTTCCAAGTGGCCGATGACTCAGAGGTCGAAGTGAACTTTTGTTGGATGTCAAGCTGACCAGGCTAAGCTAGGGGCAGATTAGGTGCCGAGTTAATTGGGCCGAGCTAGGCAGGTTAGGTGCCGAACTGACTGGGCCGAGCTAGGCAGGTTAGGTGACGAGCTGACTGGGCCGAGCTAGGCAGGTTAGGTGACGAGCTGGCTAGAGTGCCGAGCTGCCTATTAGGTGCCGAGCTGACCAGAGGGTCGAGCTGCCTATTAGTTGCCGAGCTGCCTGGTGGCGAGCTGGATTGATTGTTGAGCTTCGTAGTTCTTTAGAGACCGGCAAGGAATCAATGTCAAAGGACCCGGGGTGGCTAACCCAGCGAGGTCGCTCCGATGCTTAAGTCAGTACTCTCATAGTAGACTACGAGCTAAAAATCACAAAGTATGAGAGCTAGAATATGCTTACTTGCCCCCCCCCCCCCATGCCATTGGGGTTGGTGCCTTTATATAGGCATTGTTTGGCGTGGGCTTCACGCACCGCATCCGAGATTTTCGAGAAGTCGTCTAAGTGGTCTGAGATTCCCTAAGGCAACTGCCATGCACGTTGACCATGCTCCAGATCGTTCGGCACGTGGGCCAACTTCCAAGGATCGTGGGGGTGTTAGGATATGCATGCCGAATTTGTTGGCGAGCACATCTCGCAGGTCACCAGGTTCGCGCCTGGGCCAGGTTGCCAAATCGTGCTTGGGCCAAGCCGCCAGGTCACGCCTGTGCTAGGCCGCCAGTTTGGTGCCTGTGCCAGGCCTCCAAGTCGCGCTAGGGCCAGGCCGCCAGGTGGGACACCATCAACTTGGCTAAGGAAAGTTGTTGCCTAAGTGTTCCAGGTGTCACCTATTTGTTCCGAGGTGCCATGTGTCACCATATCATTGGAGGGCCAAATCCGCCCTCATCATTTGCCCCCCACTCCCGAGCTGAAAGTAACTCGGCGAAGGGAGTAGATTGCTCATTTTGGCCTGAAATGACTAATTCGATAAGCTCGTAAGCGTCGATTCAATTCCTTAGGCTCTGGGAGCGACTCGCAGTCCACTCTCCTTACCCATGATTTTGCCCATGCCGAAGAGGCGATTGGGTCTTATGTGGTGCCGAAGTCTTTGCCAGTTCGGCACTTTATCCCTTAGGCTCTGGGAGCGACTCGCAGTCCACTCTCCTTACCCTTGATTTNTTTGCCAGTTCGGCACTTTATCCCTTAGGCTCTGGGAGCGACTCGCAGTCCACTCTCCTTACCCTTGATTTTGCCCATGCCGAAGAGGTGACTGGGTCTTATGTGGTGCCGAAGTCTTTGCCAGTTCGGCACTTTATCCCTTAGGCTCTGGGAGCGACTCGTAGTCCACTCTCCTTGATCTTTGATTTTGCCCATGCCGAATAGGCGACTGGGTCTTATGTGGTGCCGAAGTCTTTTATCAGCTCGGAACCTTAGAGCTACGGCTGCGCTGCATCAGCCTCGTTAGTGATGTCGATTACCTACTCCTACAAGAAGCTACTAGGAGCTCGACGTACGGGGGCAGCACTACTGATTTTAGGTCACCAGCTCGCACGGAAGCCTTGGAAGGCTCGACCGGCAGGGGCGTCCATGTAGTCTGTTGGCCGCCTACTCCCGCGGAAGCCACGAAGAGCTCATTTTTGTAGAGGGTACCTTGCGAAGAGGACTAATGAGGCTTTATCCGAGTTGAAATAAAGTTGGTAGAGTTGCTTAGTCAATTGGTCATCAATTTCCTGCATAGTCTTTGAGTTCATAAAAAATGTAAACTAGAAAGTGAGAGCTTTTAGTTTCTAAAAGGTGAGAACTTAGCTTTCTGGAAGAAGAGGACTTAGCCTTTCGGAGGATGAGAACTTGGCTTTTTGTAGCGTTTCCCATAGACGGCGCCAATTGATGAATCAATTTTTGGTGATGTATCAATTTTTTTGTGCTAAGTACCTCGTTATTTGGTATGCTTCCAAGTGGCCGATGACTCAGAGGCCGAAGTGAACTTTTGTTGGATGAGCTGGGTAGGTTAGGTGTCGAACTGACTTGGCCGAGCTAGGCAGGTTAGGTGACGAGCTGACCAAAGTGCCAAGCTGCCTATTAGGTGTCGAGTTGACCAGAGAGCCGAGCTGCCTGGTGGCGAGCTGGATTGATTGTTGAGCTTCGTAGTTCTTTAGAGACCTGCAAGGAATCAATGTCAAAGGACCCAGGGTGGCTAACCCGGCAAGGTTGCTCTGATGCTTAAGTCAGTACTCTCATAGTAGACTGCGAGCTAAAAATCACAAAGTATGAGAACTAGAATATGCTTACTTGCCCCCCTATGCCATTAGGGTTGGTGCCTTTATATAGGCATTGTTTGGCGTGGGCTTCACGCACCACATCCAAGATTTCCGAGAAATCGTCTAAGTGGTCCAAGATTCCCCGAGGCAACCGCCATGCACGTTGACCACCCTCCGGATCATTCGGCGCGTGGACCAACTTCCAAGGATCGTGGGAGTGTTAGGATATGCATGCCGAATTTGTCAGCGAGCACGTCTCGTAGGTTGCCAGGTCGGCGCCTGGGCCAGGTCGCGCCTAGGCCAGGCCGCCAAGTCGCGCCTGGGCCAGGCCGCCAGGTCGCGCCTAGGCCAAGCCGCCAATTCGCGCCTGGGCTAGGCTTTAGGTGGACCACCATCAACTTGGCTAAGGCAAGTTGTTGCCTAACTGGTTCCGGGTGTCACCTAATTGTTCCGAGGTGCTATGTGTCACCATATCATTGGAGGGCCAAATCCGCCCTCATCACCACCCTTTAAATTCCCGAGTCCCCATGAGCGGGAACATAGTTAAATTCCACCGGCATAAGTTTGGCAGAACCACAGGATTCAAGCATAGCCCCACGGCCCACCCCCCTCCAAGAGAACAAATATTGATTTTCTTGATTAAATTTTGAAGATAACATGAAAGAAACCTTTTCATATTTATAATTGAAGAAGTATCATCATATACAGCGGAAAGTGAATCCAATTTCTAATTTCAAATCTGCATAAACAGAACTGAAGGCTAAGCCCTACTTAATCCTGAATTGCTTTAATTTGGCTTCTAATGGTAAGTGACATTAAGGCAAATGAAAAGTGTAGTCTCTTAAATTTATGGAAACCACTTGCTCCCTGCGCCCTCTTTTTCTTTTCTTTTTTTGCATGTCTGGGTGGATACTGGATGATGAGTGCTCATCTGCATGGACTGGTTCCCGCTGCCTTAAATTTATGGAAAGTACTTCCACATTATTTATCATGATGATATCAGATCAAATTATATATCGGTTTGAAATAGGATTTTGGTAGTGGCATCCCTTTTATGCCACATTCATGACTCCATCTGATACACCCTATACTCTTCAATACCAGAGATCCATCTAGAAAATATGGTAACACCCTATAATGGATTTGGCTGGATTACCCACTTTCATCTCATCAAAGTAGACTATTCAATGGAATTCTTATTATATGTCAGTCTTGAAAAACAAAAGGACTATTATTCATCAAAAAACAAAAGGACTAACATTAGATAAAATTTTAACTTTCAATGCCTAGCAAGCTCATGAATACCCCAATATCACAAAGATTTGCTAATATGACTGCACCTCCACTGCTTGCCTCTTTGAGCTGCTCTTCATTAAATATACCAGTACAAACTCCCACTGCCAGAGCTCCTCCAAACTCAGCAGCTTTGATATCATTTGGCTGCAAGTGGGTGACAGGAGAAATACACATTAAGGAATTTCATGGATTTCCATATCATGAAGATCAGACGGTAAAAGCATTAGGGATTTAGATGTTTGTTAGATATGGTCATTACTCACTTGGATTTAAAAAAAAAAAAAAAAAAATTTGCTTGAGACAAAATTCCACCAGCATACAACTTGCCAACTGGATGGTTCTTCATGCCAAGGCCATCCAACAGGTTAGACCCATCATTGGCCGAAGAGGTCCAAGAGAAGTTTTGTTCCAGAGATTAACCTAACTAGAGAGTTAAATTATCAAAAAAAAAAAAAAAACTAACTAGAGAGTTCCAACCCTCTAGCTCTAACTATTTGATTCCTACAATTTTGTCTTCATCATCCAATTGATGACACATTTTGACATCTCCTTACAAAAAGGATCAAGTCAAATTGAAGACCCCAATCCTCCCGATATAACCCCACCCCTCGCAGAGAGAGGGTAGAAGGATGTAAGTGCAAGTTAATCAATGTTCTAGCAAATTTTAGAGTTAAAATATAGGAAAAAAGAAAGAAGAGGCAGAGGAAACTTTACGCACTGTATCACCAACATGCACTCTCAGGTCAAATGATCCAGAAAATAGTGTTGCTGCCCTATCTGCTGCAATCTTCACAAGATGCCCTCGATCAATGTGATCACTTCCAAATCTGATTAAAATATCAGAGGGCAATATTATGATCAAAGACAAATTCTAAAACTGAAAAAAGAAAGACTTCTTGATCATTTGTTTCAACTTACCCCCCGAAATTGGGGACGGTGAAATACTTCTTTATGCCCAGTCCCTCCATCTTCAACCAAGCAATCTCCTCCAAATTACCTGTGACCTAAAAAGGGAAAATTTGTAAAATAGACTCTTGGAGACCAATACAAAATAGGAAAAACATATGACTTAAGCTCATAAAGTACATCAATTTTTGTTTCCCTATTTCTTCCTTTCATCCCTTCATTTTACTCTCTTATATCTGATTCTTTGGTTTGAGATATACATGTTAAATCATTGTTGCCCCCTTCAGGGGCCATGATATTCATAGCTAAGTAATGCATTGTCTACAGATGGGCTTGGAAAATGCAGATACATGGTGGAAGCAAAGAATACAATAATAACAATCTCCAAAATCCAGATACATGCATTCTTAATGCAGTTAACTAAATGCAGATACATGCATTCTCCAAAATCCAGGACCAAAAATAAGGATAAATGTATATGATCCAATTAAGTGATACAATAATAACAATCTTAATGCAGTTAACTAAATGATGCATCTTTTTAGTTCTTTAGGCATGCTAAATTTAATGAGAAGTTATATTTACACTTCACATCTGGTAAAGGAAAAATAAGTAGTCCTAAAGTTTCATGTAAGAAATAGAAAATTTGCTAGGTCAATGTTTACATGATATAAAGATTCATATAGTACATTTTTTTTATTGGTAGATAATATCCATGGATAAGCTAAATTACAAGATAAGAAATGTTTTAGACAAATATCCATGTATAAGCTGTTGGTGAAGGTGTCTACAGTGTTTTTAATAGGGAATAAGCCAATAAGGAATGACACATAACCAAAGAGGGAGAATTATGTAAAAATCCAAATAAATTAGGCGGGGATTGTAAGCATACCAAACCAATTGCCACATTTTGTTTTGATGACAAGGCTTGAAGGAGAGACTCAACACCAGGAAGCACCTGCAGTCCTCCAACTTCTTTGCTATGTTCCCTGGCATATTCTATCATCTTTGACTTCAAAACAGGTAACTTTTCAGTAGCCACCTTCATCAAGAAATTGTGCACATAAGCACGTTTCCCCCAAAGGAAGAGAGAAGAAATTCCAAATAGTTGACACAGAAAATAAATTATTTGCTGTAAGTCGCTTTAACCATATGACCAATAAAAATAATTGCCATGTGAAAATCAACAAAAGAATTTGTTTAGTTTTAATTTTAAGATATAATAATATACAATTCTTTTTTGTAAGATTCTAAATGAAGGTTCTGAGTCATAGAATGCACATTAACTGTTTAGTTCTAACCATGCCACTATCAGAAAAACCTATGGAAATTTCTACAAAAATCTATTCCCAATGATTGTATCAGTTACATCCAAGATTCAAAGTATCGGAAAGGCAATTTTAAGATACGTATCGGGATACGCCTTGCATATGCATGCGTATCAGAGAAAAACTAAGATACACATAGATACGCTTGGAAACACTATAAATACTTTAATAAATCATAAAAATACATCAACAACACTAAATATAAGACCTCAATGAGGTGTATATACATTAAATTAATATATTTTAATGGTTTTATGAATAAATATATTATAGCTAATTATAATTTCATTAAAAATCCTATGCTTAACTATGATTTATAAATTATAATTCTTAAGGTTTCATGTTTTATGGGCTGAGAAAAACCCAACTCTCCTATCCAACCATAAAACATGCATTGGCACAACTTTTATGTGAAAATATAACTAATAATTATTTTTGTTTAAATAATTATTATTTATTATTCACTTCCAAAAATTATAAAAAATAAATAAACATTATATAATATATTCAAAAAATAGTTATTAAAGAAGAAATTTCAATTGTGGATATGATAGATCATCCATAGAATTATAATATATTCAACCATTGTGATCAAATGATAAAATATAATTAATTAATTATTATTTTTTAATTCTAAAAAAATATAAAAATTATTAAAGACATGGTTTTAAAACCGAACCGGTGACCGAACTTGTCAGGGGTCCGATTACCGGTTCGAACGATCCGACCATTTGACCCGAACTGTCGGCCCGTTCAAACAAAAAAAATAAAAATATTTAAAAAAATTGAAAAACGGTCAAAACCGTTCGAATGGTTCGAACAGTTAACCGACCGGTTCAGTGGTTTGCTGACCAAAATCAACAGTTTTTGGGGAAAAAATCTGTTCTGGGGGAAAACGGAACCAGTCAGGTGACCGGTTCCCAGTTTTTCCGATCTGACCATCCGATCCGGTCAGGTTTTGAAAACCATGATTAAAGAAGAAATTTCAATTGGTCTATGGATATGATAGATCATCCATAGAATTATAATATATTCAATTTTTATGATCAAATGATAAATTATTATTAATAATTATTTATTTTTTTATTCTAAAAAAATAAAAAATAAAAAATATATATTAAAGAAGAAATTCCAATTGCTCTATGGATATGATAGATAAATCCATAGATCTAAAACATATTTAGTCTTTGTAGGAAGAGAAAAAACTTGCATTTTCAAAATTTTTGTTAATTTATATTTTCCCCAAATATCTTCATGAAATTTCCACAAATCTACTGATAGCACAAAAAATTTGTGATTTTGAATGTAAGAAATGTAGATCAACATAAATTTAAACATTCAAGAAAAAAAAAATCACAAGATATTATAAAAGATTGAAAATTACCTATTTTTGCCATATTTTTTCAAATTTTGAAAAATCTTTAAAAAAATTAATGATTCACACTTGTTTCTTGCAAAGTTTTGCAAATCTAGCACTCTAGGAATGAAGTTTGGAGTTTTAGAGTCATTTGGGGGTGAAAGAAGGCTTATTTTGGGGAAAAGAAGCTTACTTTTCCCCTTTAATTTTTTTTTTTTAGTTTTTGGCCGTATCTTTTTCTTTGATATGCTGTCGATACGCCTCGATACACCCCCAATACGCCCCGATATGCCCCCAATACGCATGAAAAAAGACGAAATGTCTGATTTCCATGCGTATCCTGTATCAGTTTTTAAAAGACACGATATGTATCAGGCGTATCGTATCGAAATTTTAAACCTTGGTTACATCAGTGTCATGTAGGTTAACCATATACACACCATTCACATTTGGATGGACCTTCAGTGCAAAAGTATTTGTCATACTTCTTTGTTATGATCAACATTGCAAATCAGATATATTTTGGGAAAGTTAATGCTATTTGTAAAATCCCTATTCGATTCTAGGTTAAAGTAGAGAAGAAGAAGAGAAAGAAGAAGAAGAGAAGAAGAAGGAAGAGAAGGGTTCGACCAAATTAGGAAAAACCAGTCCACCTCTAGCCAACCCACTTGTATTTATCTCCAATAACATAGTTACAAGAAAGATCATATTGTCCCTCATAAGTGATGGGACACATAACTTAAATAAAATAGACCTTTCACTCTCAAATAGATAAACCCAAATGACCAAAATACCCCTGATTTGTGTATTCTAACACTTTAATTGGCAGGGTACCAATGAGTAATGGGATAATGTCTTTAACTACTAAGTACTTAGATCTTTAGGGATCTCTTAGTTATTTGTTTATTCTAAATATTGAGCAACATTAAGGATACCAAAAAACGAAGATTTTCTCATAAGTCATAAGGAATACAAGTCCATCTTTCAACACAAATCTAGAACATTGTTGGGACCCACAGACAGGAAATCCACCTCAAGTGAGATAATGTTCCAGTAGTGTGTTGTTATAGGATGGATTGGTATCTCTTACAATTTTCTTTGTTTCATTAGCTTTTTGGTTAAAATTAATTTGTAATGAATTGCTCATCAATGGATATAAATCTATAAATAGGCCATCTTATTGTAGTTGGATTTGGGAGTTGGAATGGAATTGAAGTGGTTTTTTTGTTTGGAAGTACCAGAGCTGTCATGTTTTCTCTACTCTTCTCTATTTTCTCTACTTGTTTCTGTTACAGCAGTATATTTCCAATTCACTCATCTATTAGTGAACTGGAATTCAATTCTTGGATATATACCTCTTAGTCCAACCTTGTTTTCATAGTGCTATAGTTCTTGCATGGCATACAAAACCCCACTTGTATACAGAATTGGCACAAAAGGGACAAGTGACAGACAAGGGTACCTTTAGATGAAAACTCATCTAAACATTAAGCAGAATTACAAATTCAATCCTGGATCTGTTGTTCCAAAACCAGCTTATTATGAACACTCCCCACCCTAGCCAAAGGAGCTAACAAGCCTATTAGCCAGATATAAGGGTCCTCGTATACGAGTAGTTCATTTTAGATGCCATAGTGTTTGCCTTCGTTATCAGATGTCTAAATTAACCATGGACCGTTAGGCGTAGGCCCTTCAAGATAGCCATATAACTACAACCTAGAATAACCTTCCAGTAACAGCTTAACTATCATAAACCTTGCAATAGAGCAAGAAGTTCAGCTCTCAAGGAAATCCCCTCACCAGATGGACTGAATAGCTCATCAAGATAGTTCAGCTTGGAAATAAACATTGAAAACTGGTTTATTTAGTTACAGAAGATCTTAGTCCATACACAGGACCAAAACCTGTGCTCTATCAAATGGGCATCCTATCAAAATGCAGATATATCTGAGCCACAAGTAACAGTATTTACAATAATTGTAGTTGAATACCAAAAAGAAATAAGAATAATAATTGTAGTTGGTTTGCAACACAGTACAGGCCCATTATTCCTGTAAGAATTCTTCGATCTTTTAAAATCCAGCTTTTTAGTTGACGGTTGTAAAGGTCTAAAAAGATACAATTTAAACTATCTACAAGATATACAAATAAAATACCAAAGGCCGAAGATACCAACTTCATATGGTATGCCATAGTGAACGAGAGTATTCACAATCACTGAAGGATCAGTTTGCCCATGATGCTGCAAAAGGTAGGGATAATGTTAATTAAACTGTAACAAATTTGAACTCCTGTAGTATTTTTTTTTTTTGAAATGTAACTCCTGTAGTATTCAAAAATATATATATAGTAGAAGTAGTCATTTTCCACAAAAAACAAACTTCTTTTTCAGCGGTCAACTTTGTAATCCCCAACATTTAATGCTAAAGCCTCTAATGCCGATTTCACCTATGGTATTATATACTCAGTCCAGCAGCAGCAGATTTGAAGAAAAAAAAAAGTGCAAATTAAAGGGGAACTGTTGACTCCTAACCGCTGAACCCTTTTTTTATTGAAAAGCATAAAAAAAGGAAGAAGATTGGTTGATTGGACTTCATTTCTACATTATTGCCCCAGTTCTTTTGTCAGTTCAAGAAAGCCCAGGAAATGGATAACAGAAAACTATAACTTCTAAACTTGATGTTTAACGTTCCCACTTCCCAGACTGATAAAAAACAGTTCAAAATTCCCAATTCCCAGCAATTATTCAGAAATGGAAATATAGGATTGAACCAGTCATACCTGTTTTTTGTAAGAAACAACTAAAGCTTCTAACTGGAAATGGTAACAATGGAACAACATGTTAAGACAAGGAAGAAAGCAAATAAGGAGAGACACCTGAATCGCGTCTATGGTCCCTTCGATGCCGAAAACCTCGAGGAAAGCGTAAGAAAAAGCTCTGCGGTGCAACTTGTTTGAATCGGAGCCAGAGCTTTGGATTAAAGTTCCATCAATATCAAACGTAACTAGAACTCTCTTCTCAATCTGTTGAGGTTCTCCTTCCATCTCTTCCTTTCTCTCTGTGGCAATGGAGTTACAATCTCGAATATCAAAATCTCCTCCGAGTTTTTTTTTTTTTAAATTTAAGTAAAGCTCTCTAGTGAATACTGAATAATGAGGGAATACATGACATTATTTCAAACAAGGTATTGATTCAATTAGGGATTCCTCGCATGATGCCTAATTGGAATCCATAATGAGGGATTACATGACATATGATAAGCAAGGTATTGATTCAAAAAGGGATTCCTCACATGACGTCTGATTGGAATCTATTTAACACCCATCAACATATCTTTTTTTATTGTGAAATGATAGAAATATCCATCAGGTATTATTTAATTTTCTTTATCTGCCACTGAAGCGATGCGGCCGCTATGGCGGAGAATTGTCGCATTCGTGGACGACGTGGAATGGACTAAAATTTCCTGTTCACGGAATCGTCGAACCTAACTCGTTGAGAATCGGTACCGCTGTGACTCTGCAGTCTACTCTGTCAATTAGAGAGGTTTTTCTTTCAATGTTGTGATTTGGCGACTCTTCAGACTCTTGAGTCTTTACTCTCTTATCTTCACCAAGGTAAATATGGTTTAAGTACTCCCTTTACTGTACTTGCTTTGCTCTGTAAGACACCACTTTAGACTCTTCGCAGCTCACATTGACTCCCATGACTGCCGGTGGCGGGGGAGCGTCGCCGCCTCCTCCTCCTGCTCCCATCTCCGACGGCGAATTCCTCCTTCAATTGCTTCAGAAATCCCCTCAACCCCACATACCCCCATCAACACCACCAAACACTAGTTCTTCATTAACCCCACCTCCATCTCTCCCCGTTGATCCCCATCATCCTCTCCGCCGTTGCAGCAATGGGTCCCATCCTTCCCTCCCCGTCGTGGCCCTCCAACGACCGTGATCTCTGCCCTCCTTGGCCTAATGCCACCAATACTCCTCACCCCCTTAACGCCCATCTCCCTCCGTTCCCTTAGAACCCTGGTTCCAGAGGTCTGTTTTGCCAAAACCCAAGCGAACAACGCCTGGTCTTCCAAACAAACCAAAGGGGACAAGCCAATGCGGTTCTTTTAGTGGGAGACGAGACTTTAATCATAATGTGGACAAGGAAGCGGGCAAGCGGCTACTCAGACTCATAGTGAGCTGAACCGTGCTCTCTTTCCATCTTTTGATGACAATGGGATGTGTTGTTGCTTAATCCGAGATGGTGTACAAATTGAGGAGAGCAATCAGATAGTCTTTACCAATAGGACGAGCTACAAGGATGAAGCTGTGCTTCAAGATCTGTGATAAAGAAAGAAAAAGTCAGAGGCTCGAGGAGTTATCCCCGAGTAAGTATTCCGACGCTCAAGTCAGTAGGAAGTGGTAGATGGTCGGGCCGAGCTATAAGGGTGATGGTCCGAGCTAAGTAGCAGTACGGGTGTCAGAAGTTGGATCCCTTATCTTGAGCATGGAGTACCTTTTATAGCCAAAGATCCGTATCCTAGTAAGACTGGGCTTCCGGGGTTATCGGGATGAGGTTAGCCACCGAGGTATTCGAAATAGTCTCATTCCCCAACGGAGTCGTCTTCCTTACTCCTCTTTATCCGTAGTTGTGCTCATCCATATGACGTGTAGCTGGCGTGACTGAAAGGATAAGATGGGGGCCACAATAATAGCGTAGCTCGATCGAGCTATGCCGACGTGATCAAGCTAGGTCGACGTGGCCAAGCGATGACTAGGCGGTCACGTGTTTCTCAGGACCAGCTCAGCCATGACCCAAACACCACTTCCCTAGTTCTGAAGTCAAGGAATGAAGTGCTCCCAATTCGTTCCTCGGTTGAAGAACTTCCAAGTTGATGTCTGGTTGAGCATTTTGGTCCCTTTGGTGTTCCTTGATGCCTACCATAATCTTGGGATCCGGGCAATATGGAACATGGTCGGGGAATCTTTCCATCGTAGACTGCAGAACTCCAAGAACTCTAACTTCGGAATCCGAACACCACTCCCCCAGTTCTGGAGCTGAGGAGGGGGAGTGCTCGGTCCGAAGTGTCGAACAGTCGCGTAACTTGGCAGAGCGCCGAGGTGTCGAACTGAGCTTCGAGGTCCATTTTCTTGGTGGGACCGAGGAAAGGCCCTCTGACTCCTGGTGAAAGTCGAGCTTCAGTGTTGTGGTCACTGTGATGCTCGGCCATGGTGTGCCGAGCTCTGGAGTTGGGTCCGAACTTTGGAGTTGAGGCTGCTATGATGCTCGGCCGTGATGTGCCAAGCTTCGAAGTTGGGGCTTAGCTCGACCGGGTGCCGAGGAAAGGATTTTTGCTGTTGGTGGGAGGCTGAGCTTCAGAGTTGAGGTCGTTGTGATGCTCGGCCATAGTGCACCGAGCTAGGAAGTCCGGGACCTTAGAGATGTCGAGCTATGGAGTTGAGGCCATTGTGATGCTTGGCCACGATGCACCGAGCTACAAAGTTGGGGACCTTAGAGATGTCGAGCTACGGAGTTGAGGCCATTGTGATGCTCGGCCACGGTGCGCCGAGCTACGAAGTCGAGGACCTTAGAGGTGCCGAGCTACGGAGCTGAGGCCATTGTGATGCTCGGCTACGGTGCACCAAGCTACGAAGTCGAGGACCTTAGAGGTGCTGAGCTACGGAGCTGAGGCCATTGTGATGCTTGGCCACGGTGCACCGAGCCTCGAAGTTGGGGGGTCCCAGAGGTGCCGAGCTACAGAGCTGAGGCCATTGTGATGCTTGGCCATGGTATGCCGAGCTTCGAAGTTGAGGGCCTCGAAGGTGCCGATCTACGGAGCTGAGGCCATTGTAATGCCCAACCATGGTATGTCGAGCTTTGAAGTTGAGGGCCTTGGAGGTGCCAAGCTACAGAGCTAAGGCCATTGTGATGCCCGACCATGGTGTGCCGAGTTTCAAAGTTGAGGGCCTCGGAGGTGCCAAGCTACGGAGCTTGAGTCTCTGCTCTTCGGTTGAGGAACTTGTACATGAAAATTCGGAATCCGAGCACCACTCCCCCAGTTCTGAAATCGAAGAGTGGATTGCTCGGTTGAGGTGCAACGAGGCCTCCTTTGGTCGGTATTTGTTGTTGGACGTTCCGAAGAAACTAGAGAGATTGGTTGACCCAATGGTCCTGGGCGAACCTCGAGCATTTGTGACGTTGGTTGGACCGCTGCTACAGGGTGGATCGGGGCAATTAATGCTGTGGCCGTTGCTTATCAAGGTTGACGCTTCGGTTCCCGAGGCCTTGCACGTGTGGTAATAGTCATGTCGATTGGTCTTCCCGAGCTTTGTCAGGGCAGCGCTTGATCCTCACCATAGATCTAGCGTCGATTCGCTATCTTGTGGCCTATAAGAAGGGGTGGACAAGCATTTCCCCTTTGCCATTTGCGAGAGGAGTTGCTTGGATAGCTCGGTGGGGTGTTTTCAGCATTACTTGGCATTTGTTTTTATTCCTCGGCTTCAAGCTCGGTAAGATGTCTTCCTCATCCTCCCATTCTTCTTCCAGTTCTAGTTCTTCTGGTTCTAGTGAGTCTGATTATGAGTTCGAGGTTGGGGCTTTCGAGGATGCCGAGGTTGGCCCCTCTAGGGTGGAAGCTGAGCTTCCCTTGCGGGCTAGTCGCCGGTTTGGGACCTGTGTCTTAACCCTCGAGGATATGGCTCAGATCCGAGCTATGTATGACATCCCCGAGGAATTCCGAATGAGGTGCCCGCAGCACGGTTAGATGGCAACCGATGCTCGGCCCGATGAGATTTGTGTGTACGATAACAACTTGGAAGTCGGGCTAAGGTTTCCTCTGAACGAAGGGGTTGCCGAGGTACTTGCATGGTACTGAGTATTGCCGGTGTAGCTGATGCCAAACTCCTTTAGGCTTTTAGTCGGCCTTCTGTCCTACTACGCAGTTCGTCATATCAAGCTGACCCCAGGTATGGTGAGCTTCCTTCTTCAGCTCAAACATCACCAGCAGGGCTACTACTACTTCTCGACTAGGAAGAACATCAGAGCGCTGGTTGGGGCCCCCTCTTCTGTGAAGCACTAGAAGAAAACTTTCTTCTTTGAGCTCTGTCCCGGGGGCCTCCCCTTCCTGGCCATGCTACAAAAGCCGAGAACGAGAGTGCCCCAACCTCAATGGTTTGCACTTACCTAGGAGGAGAGGTCGGCTCTGAACATGATTCACGAGATAGACGTAGCTGCGTACACATGCTCGGAGATGTTGATGCGTAGGGTGGCTGGTATGTCCTTTTTGTTGCTTTGTTTGCTCGTACTTTCTTTGCTTCTTTGATATTATACTTAATGTCGTGCTTCCACAGTGTAGGTGTAGAAATGGCGAGTGAGGAGGAAATTGTACGTCGGATGAAGGAGAATCGCCAGAAGCAAAACCGGGCTAGCGTGCCGTTGTAGGTCCATTCCGAGGTCTTCTAAGAGGACACCTCGTCTCCAAAAAAGAGTTCGTCGGCCGAGGAACAACGATGAGGACGTCGTGGTTGTGGATCCCGAGGAAGCTCGCCAGGTTGCCTTTCCTTTGCGAGTTGAGGTGGGGAGCCGTAGCTCAGATATTCATGTGTCGTGCTGGACGGTCTGCAGCCGGGACGGGCTAGAGACCCCCGGAGTTTTCGAGTAGTTGCTCTGCGGGATGATGATGGCATACATCACCGAAGAGGCTAGGAATACTAGGAGCAACACCTTAGAGTGCTCACTTATTCGGGCTGCGGCTCAGGTAAGTTTGTGCCTGCCTTCATTGTTTTAAGCACGTTTCTTCGTACTAACAATTCTTCTTGTGTCTATAGAGCGCATACTCAGCCATTGTGCATACCGAGTACTTGCAGGTGAAGGCCCAGCTGGCCAAGCGGCCGGGGAGCGGTCCGCTGCACTGGAAAAGGAAGTGGCCGAGCTGAAGGCTCGGTTGGCCAAGCAAGTGGAGTTGGTCTGTGGCCTAAAGCACGAGATTACCGATCTAAAGGTAGAGAGGGAACGACTGAAGCAAGAGGCCACCGAGGAGGTAGTGGCACGGTACAAGGACTCGGTGGAGCTTCGGCAGGACATGGATCAGTATGCCTCAGCTTCCTTCGAGGCTGGGTTCAACGTCTTCAGGTGGAGAGCACTACGCCATTGTCCCGAGATGGCCGGAGTTGCGTAGATTTAGGAGGCCTACGATGACAAAACGCCCTCGACCTCGGATGAACTCGTTGATGAGGAGGGCGGAGGTGGCGATGATGATGAAGATGGTGGTGATGAGGCCGCTAATCTCCCTTCCGCGGGTTGAACTGCTACGAGTTCTTTTCTTATTTTTTTAGCTCCTATAATGGCTTGGTAGGTCGAGCTTTCATCTTCTATATTGACTATTTGACTTAATGAAACTTTTTGGTACTAAACTTGTGCATTCATAATTTTTTTTTCTTTTTTTTTGGTTCCTCGGCCTTGCCTTGGCCGAGGTTTGAGTTGGCTGAGATCTTCAGCCTCCGACTAGTGAAGCGGGAGTGTATTCCGAGCTCTCATATTTGGGATGCTTAGTTTTCAGTCTCGGGAGCCTTTGGGGCCCTTTGAGGGCTAGCTGTTGCTCGGCTAGCTCTGATCGACCGTTAGTTGGTAGGTGAGTGGAGTTTAATGACTGTCCTCAGGCCTTGATGGGCGGGGGCGTTCTTCTTTGCTTTAGGCTCAGGCCGTGGGCAGCCAAGCCAAGTTGGTCGGCAATACGCTGCCCGAGCTATGCATTGTGGGCTCGGGCCGTTTGGAGATCAGCCAAGTCAGTGAGCTGTACCGAGCTACACATGTGTTGTGTGGTCATGTAGCTCGGTCGTGTAGCGCAGTCGTGCAGAGTGGTCGTGTAGCGCGGCTGTGTAGTGCGGCTGTGTAGCGCGGTTGTGTGCGGTTATCGGGCTCACAGGAGCGGGCCGTGGAGGCAGACCTCCTTGTTGTGTCTTGCTTCTCACGCTCGAACTACGCTCCCCTCCTTTATGACCGACGTGTTTTGGGGTCCTCGGGATGAGAATCGTTCTTTGTACGCATCGGGGCGTGAGGGGGGACGGTCCGGTTGGGCAGTGCCGCGGATCCTAGTGTCTGCATCATCTCATAGATCTTATCGACTTTCTCTTGCATTGCTCAGAACTGTACAAGAACAACTGCGGTTGGAGGCTGTGGAATTTCTTGATGCGGAGGGCTGCGATGCCAAGATTCCCGAGATGGGGATTGGCTTGTAGATCGTTCGGACTGGTTCTTGGGCATCTTGATTGCTTTCTTGATTGCGCGGTGAGGAAGGAAAGATTTTCGGGAAAGGCTTTTTGTGCATTTCCCACAGACGACGCCAATTTGATGCTACTCAATCTGCGGTGGTGCACAAACTGAGGAGAGCAACCAGATAATCCTTGCCAACAGGGCGGGACCGAGCTACAAGGATGAGGCCGCGCTTCAAGACCTGCGATCAAGAAAGGAGAAGTCAGAGGCCTGAGGAGTTATCCCCAGCTAAGTACTCTGATGCTCAAGTCAGTAGGAGGTGGTAGATGGTCGGGCCGAACTATAAGGGTGCTGGTTCGAGCTAAGTAGCAATACGGGTGTCAGAAGTTGGATCCCTTACCTTGAGCATGGAGTACCTTTTTATAGCCAAAGATCTGTGCCCTGGTCGGACTAGGCTTCCGGGGTTGTCAGGATGGAGTTAGCCGTCAAGGTATTCAAGATAGTCCCATTCCCTAACGGAGTCGTCTTCCTTACTCCTCTTTATCCGTAGTTGTACTCATCCATGTGACGTATAACTGGTGTGGCTGAAAGAATAAGATGGGGGGCCACAATAATAGTGTAGCTTGGCCGAGCTAGGTTGACGTGGCCGGGCGATGACTAGGCGGCCACGTTTCTCTATGGACCAGTTCAGCCGTGACCCGAACAGGATGATAAGAAGACAGACACCTGAAAACACTCAACTACAAATGATGCATCCTCTACATTAGGCTCAGTCATCAACTTGATCACTCCAGTCCTCCGTCGTCGGGAAGTAACCTGCATATTGTTTTAACATTGCTACGGTTTCCTATATATATTCTTTTTTTGTTAATTTTATTTAGCTGATGAAAATTTCTTGCACCGTCGTTGGTTATTGATCAATTTCCGACACTGTAGTCGATTCGTTCGAATCTACTCAATATCGCAGCTATTCAAACGCAGAAGACAATGAACAGTGTCTCCATTCAACGTAATTTTGATATTTTCAAAAGTTTTAATTGGCACATGTCATCTATACAACTGATGGACCATTAACGATATGGAGTTATTGGACACATTTTAAAAGTCCAACTGTTAATACTACAAGTTCAGAGACAAATTTGATACAGCCCCTAAAGTACGGGGCATTGATAAGGAATTTTTCCTTTTTAACGCCTCCACCAATACATTCTTATATTCTTCTTATTTGTTGGGTAAATTGTTGAACCCTAAGTTCCTAACTGTTGCTAAAACTTCTCTTGAAGTTTAATAATTACAAATTTACAATTAAAGCTCAGTTCGGCAAAAATACAAATACAAAAATGAACAGTACAAATACATACAAAACAATACAAAATATAAGGTTTTGCACTCTACATATTTGCATTTGTACTATTTCCAAGCTGAGCCTAACTCCCAATCAACTCCCCTAAACTTTTTGACATAGTTGCAAGTAGGCCCCTTCTAATAAAATATTTCAAAAAATGGCACAAAAATGTCTAAAATACCCATATAGTTACTTCTAACAAATATGTTTATTTTCCGAATTTTCTCTTCATATGAATCACTGTCTCGAATCCTTCCAATCACTTTTGTGAAATTGATTTATTTTTCAAATTTGCCCTTCATATCAATCAATTCAAAGGTAGAGTTGCAACTTTAAATTCTCCTTGTTGTTATTGTTCATAAAATTTGTATTATTTTTCCCATAGAAACCTGGATATTTTTATGCCTTTTTTTGAAATATTCTACCAAAGGGGCCTACTTGCAACTATGTCAAAAAGTTTAGGGGAGTTGATTGTAATTACCAAACTTTAGGGGAGATTTCAGCAACAACCAGAAACTTCAGGGCATGTTTCATCAATTTACCATTTTTTTGTATTAATCAAGGTTTTTGAACCGTCGTTGACCCGGACGGTCAAACCGTTCAGCCCGGGAGATGTCTAGGCAATTGGTTCCGTTTTACCCCAAACCCAGTCTTTGGCCAAAAACTGTTGAAAAAATTAACAACCCGTTGATCCGCTGACCCGTTCAACAATTTTTGACCATTTTTTAATTATTTAATTTATTTGTCAGAATGGGCTGTCCTTTCAAACTAGACGGTTGGACCATTGACCAAAAAATCGGTGGTCAAAACGGTTCGGTTTCCGAGTTGTTTTTTACATTGATATTAATCCTTATGTTGTTCTCAATCCATAGATCTTTCTGTCTAAAATTATACATAGCTCATGTTGATGATTGGAACAGCATTGTTATTTTGTTGTGACAAATCCAGACTCGTCTATGTGATTTAACATCTGTGCCCCACAATATATCTCAACCGTGTATTAGGAACATCTCCCACTAACAACTTTGGGAGATATTTTCAATACACGCTGAGATGTGCATGTAGAGCATTAGTGAGATGCCCTCTGTGGAGTGCAGATGTGATCTCCGTCTATGTATTTATGAATTTGCATGTGGCAATCGTGTATTAGGAACATCTCCCAAATGACAAGTATGAAAGATGTTCCCAATGCATTCTGAGATAGATTTGCATGTAGGCCACCTGTGGGGCACTTGTGTGATCACTGTAAACGCAGCGTGAAAACGGGTCTATGTATAATGTATGCCCGAATTTGCTCCATTGCGAATAATCAGATACAGAAATGTTCTTCTTTTCATATACATTAAATAAAAAAAGTTATAGTTTGAAAATTTTAATCGGGATAGAATGGAGGTATATGAAATCCCACCATTAAACATTTCCTTGGACTTGATTCAATCAAATGTTAGCATTTCCTTTTTTGAGAAAGGTCCAGTTCTTTGGTTTTACTTTTACCACTTTATACAAATTAGGCATTCTATCTGTACAAAAATGGTTCATAATTTCATGGAAGAATGCAACTACTAGTAAACAAATTTATTCAAATCTTGGTTGCTTTGCCTTGTAGACATGGTGGGATTGGTGAAAAAGAGATACTATTCATCTGCATTCCTCAACTTCGTCATTTCATGAGCCATTCTAAGTCCATTCTAAGTACACCAAGTATAGAAAACTGAAGTGGGGATTGCCTACTTTGAAGAATTTCAACTACATTTTCAGGTTGATCCATTCACCATTCAGCAGTCAGCACAAGCTAGAAAATGAGATGCTTGGTCATAAGACCTTTATACTATAAACCCAGTTAACCTGCACAAAATCTCCATCTACTTATTTTAATTTTGATTTAAAACCAAATCCACTCAGAATATCTAGCGTCTGATCCAACACTGCAGTAACAACTAACGTGATTGGCACAGCTAGCAATTACTTGGTGTTCAACATTTTTTATGGAACTTTATTAAGACAGCAGTTGCAAGATAAGAAGGCACAAACAAAAAATCAAGTCCTTCCATAAACCAAAGAGCAATATAGAAAATGAAGGCCTAAGCACCAGCCACTAAGAAGTTTAATACAAGAAGAAACCCAGTTATCCACAGAACCTAGTATGGAGGGCCAAGCGGCCCAAGCCCTAGTATTAGTACTCCTCTCTACTCTCCCAGCTGGGTAACCAATCTTTGAATTCAAAATAATAAGATGTTCATTCTAGCAGACACAGATATACATTCCCTGAAGTAGTATTGCTAGCTTGCTGCAACAAAGGGCCTTCACCACCATCTTCCATCCATATAAATGTGCCAGTTCATTCCAACTTAAGACAAGGGCTTTCACAGATGTCTAGCTATTGGAAGCCTTCTATTCTCCTTTGTCTCGTAAAACAACAATGAACTAATGAAACCAAAGCTCCAAGAATATCAACAAATTTCCCAAGTGTAAGTGTATATTTACAATTGGTGAAGAAACTGAGAACCAAATGGAAGGGTAAAAAGAGAAGACAAATATCAGTACCTACTAAAACAATTAGATCACTTGTGTAGTTATTGCAGACTTTAGCTCTCGAAATAAATAAATCCTTTCTGCAAAAGTACGTGCCAGATCAGTATAAGCTTCAAACCTTTTCTGATTGAGAATGGTCAGAGGACTTGGCAAGTAGAGCTGTGCTTTCTGAATCAACTTCAAAATAAATCTTCTCTTTCTTAGAAGGATATAGTAGATAATGTTGGCATATGAAGAGAAGGTCGAAGAAGACAGTCAACTGGGGAAGAAACAGTTCTGGTCTCGATTAGTAGCCAATATTGGACACTGAACATACTTCACTGGCCTCACCAAATCAGTTCAGAACTTCATAAGAAATATACTACAATGAATGTCTCATTAAAACTGATAGATATCATGTTTGAGATTTACTTTGGTTTTAATTATTTTTATGGAACCAATACTTTTTCTAATTCGTAGTCCAAAAAAAATCCGCCAGGGCTTCTAGAGTTCTTCCCCGTTTCCATTTTTCTAACCAAGAACCTTGAAAGTAATGGCCATGGGATTTTTCTTTTGTGGCATGGATGAAATAAGTCCAAGATATATTGCTGATAATGTGTTTGCAGCAATACAATTGACAACTTGAATATGTCGTAAATAGTTAAATAGGTACACAACTTGAATTAAAAAAAAAACCAGTATTTCTCTTTTTCAGGTTACCACCAGAAAGGCTAACATAAGTACCTAATTGTATGGTACTCAATCTCAACTTCTATGCTAGGTGCCAGGTAATTGGATGCCTGCAAAGTAAATTGGAGGGTAAGTGCTAGACATTTCAATTACATAAAAAGTTTACAACTCTATCGTGAGATCAGTGAATGACAGCAATGTTAGCAGCTGGTTGAATTGGGTTAACGTAGAAATAAATCCCTTTCTGGTTCTTAGATATTAACTGCTTGGACTATGGTAAAAGAACATTGGCTTTGGTTAAAACTAGAATGAACGAGGAACCACTCAAGTGATTCATGTAGTTTCCCTTGCTTGATCATTTCTATTTTTTAATTAACTTACTTATAGCACCCTGTTTATGTCATGGTTTGGTGGTTCTGTGGAATTGTAGTTGAACTGATCAAACTATGAATCAAGGCTCTTTCCAGTTTGATGCCTGGCCTGGTTCTCAAAACATTGGTGACTGGTATTGATGCATGCACAAGGCTGATAGTATTTGCAATCATGAAAAAAGGCGGTCAAGAAATATGTAATTACATATCATAACCTATCCTTGAATGAGTAACTGCTAAATTGACAATATCTAGTCAATGGATTTGATTGTACAAAAATCATTAGCACCAAATTGTTCAATCTAATGTTATATATGTGAACATAGAAAGATTACGGCATGAGTACCAATCACATGAACAGACGAGGCAAAGAAGTGAGAAATATATTTCATAAGCAGATATGTTGTAAAATGAGAAAAAGAGAAAACACATTTTATACCAAGGAAAGCAAAGTCTTCCCTATATTTCCATAGAAGTTTATCCAAGAACCTGCATGAGGAATGGATAGAAGCATTACTTATTGAAAAAGGGAATACTATGCATAGAATTGAGTTCTACCTCAAAAGGTACAGAGCTATTTGCTGATAGAAGAGGTAACATACCTTGGTCTATAGACTGCATGGCCATCTGCGCATAGTTCATCAATCCTCCAAATAAATCAAGTAAAATGTTTCCAATGCTCCATCCTTCGGTGCTCTTTCGCATAAAGTTCATTAAGGCCTATATTTTGTAATACAGTTCATTAATACAAGGGGATGGCTAGTCTTCTAGTTCTATATTAGAGAACCTTTTCATTATCTTGTCAATACAACAATACAAAATTCTCTTTGGTATATGTTGTTGGGTGGAGATAATCAAGATATAAATAATAGAGAGCATGATCAAGGAGCTATGTCATGGTGCATAAAGATCATGGAAGTTACCAATCCAATTACCTAGTTATGTAAGATCACAACAACCCCAATCTGAATATATTTATAGACAAATTAAGCTTGTTAAATAAGAGATCAATCTTAAAATAGGTTGAAATTTTCCAAAGATATGTATGTTTTTTTATGAATGTTGGGAATATATTTCATCTTTTACCAATCAAAATATTATAGAGAACACCTAAGGAAACCAATATAATCAGTTAGCTTCTTTTGTTGAACCACCCATATTTTTTTTTGGTATTCAATCGTACATCTGAATATAGGGGCCGTATTTTGTTGAACTGCCCATGTATGACCATCATGATTCCTACATGTAAATCTGGTAATTATAAATGTCACTCGCAGAAGAGATAACAGAATATAAATGACACAGACAATAAAATAAGATTTATACAAACTATATTTGGCCTGACATTTATTTGTGATTTGTGAACGAATGAAATTCAAACACCAGTGAGTCCACTTTGGAGTCACTTTCAGAAATTTGAAATAATCAATCAATCGTATATGAGAAAGCCTATTCAATGGCAAGTATACCATTCATCCATTTTAAATAAAGGTTGAGATGTATATCTACCATGTTATTTATTAGTTAATTAATTCAGACATTGGAAAAGCATGTGCATTAATAGTCTCAAAATCCAACTTAGGCTAGCTTAGTGGGTACAGGAGAGCCAAATCCCTCCGGGGATTAAATCCCGTGTCCATCATTACAAACCAGTAACCAATACACCACCCAGATATCCTATCCAAAAAAAATAACAATTTATATAACACCAACCAGTCCATTCTATTCTTCCCTCAAAATAAGAAATATTAAAGATTAGCAAGCTTCTAGCCTTCTACTTAGTAAAGGTTAAACTTAGATCACAAAAATCGCAATGAAGATAAGTCATAGTAATACTTCATAACAATGTTAATTGATCAAATGTAACTAAAAATTCCTTGCAGTGTATCAAATGCCCATAGAGGTATGTAACTCTAACCTGAGGAATGTATTTGAGCACTGTCATGATAACTTGGATTCCACTGCAACAGGAATGCAATTGTGAAAAGTTAGAATTGATGTTTTTATGGTTCAATTATTATATCAAACAACCAAAAGTGGTCCAAACTCCAAATGTTATGTAAACAAATTGAAGATTGAATGTAAAGAAAGGAGCACTAAAACTTGCCCATTGCAATAGACATAGTTTTCAGTTAATTAGACAAATTTGATCTTCTAAACCATAATATTTTACTGAGGTTCACAGGGCTGTTTATTGGGAATCACAGAATCATATTGAAGGGCATAGCAGATGCTTTAAATAATGGCATCACATGGAAGCTCAGGAAAAAAAGCTATTTATATTCTAACTTCTAATCCATACCTTGCACAAGAATTTTTATTATTCCTGAACATAACATAAACTGGTGGAAAGCTAGTCCCACGCAAGAAAAGTAGGAACATAGCTTACTTTGACAAACCAAATGGAGAAGAGATATCCAACACAAATTTTAGAGACATGTATCAATATACTAGAAATGCTTTATTTATTTGGACTCAGAAATCAATTAGACAGGGATGGCTCTTCTCCTTGTCATTATTCCCCTTCACCCAAGTTCTATACTCCTATACTTCTATACTTTAGAAAGAAGAACTTACTTAAATACAGAGATTAGCCAAAGCCATGAGTTGTTTGGCCAAGCTATGAACACACAAACTGCAGCAGAAACCCAAACAATAGATGTGATTGCAATACAAGTTTTTGAGACTTTCTGGTTCCCACACTGTATACAGAACATTAATAGGCTAAGTGCAAAGTTTCATTGTTTCTACAAAATTTCAGATCACTCAAATAAATAACTAAAAAAGTGCCACTTGCGGATCATAAATTAAATCATCTTACATCATAGATCAGAACTTGGTACAAGGTAATAGCTGTCAATAGAACAGCATGTGTTGAGAAAGCTACATCATTTGCAGCTACAGGGATCATCTGCAACAAAGACAGAAATTGATAAGAACTCTCTGAAAAGAGAAGGCATCATTAACATCATTGTAACAGTAATAATGATAATGCCCAAATAATCTATTCAAACTTGAAATTCCACTCCTGCTTCATTTGCCATCTCTCTAGAACATCTAAAAGCATATGGAAATTGATTAAACTGATACCAATCTGACCTCTTGCAGTAAAAATTAGACAAATTAGATTTCAATTTTAAACTAATTTCTATAACTGAGAAGTTGGATCAAACATTTTAGGGAAAGGAGAATTGTACTGCATTACATCTTTAAACAATATGAGCCATTTGGGTAGGCATAGTAAAGGAGATCCTCGTTGAAAAAAAAAAAAACATTGTAGAAAATTCACCTTCCCACCAGGTTGATACACCACTTATCTTTGGGTCATTTTGATCGGATTATATTAGGAGATGAAACATGGAACATGCATGAGGACAACAGAACAACTCTTGAGAATTGGAGAAATAGTAGCAACAATGTACTGGCACAACCAAATGGGAACTTGTTTTATTTACAATGATGACAGTATGCTTCGTGAAGGATGCAACAATGATTAACAGGAGAATGAAATTACATACATCATGTACTGTTAACCTGCATCTGATTTACTGCTTTAGGAATATGCATAACAAATGATTCTCGGGTTTGATAAGGAATCTTTATATTCCCAGTGCGCAATTTACAATGAATTTATAAATAACCACCCACCTACCCCCCACACCAAACACAAAGTGGAAAACTCACAAATCCATGTGAAATGTATGCCAAGGCATGCATAAACTAGCTCAAAATACCGACAAGATCAGGCTTCACAACCAGTACATAAACTTTCCTGTGAATCACATGTTAAGATCTAAGATCAAGAAAAGGCTAAACTTAAAGTTAGAGATAGATGATAATAACACACTGGAGATGAACCAATATCCGTGGATCCCTAACTAGTTTAGCGAATATGATCCTTGCAAGATAATTCATAATGGTCCAATGTTTTTTGGCCTCCAATAACAGCAATATTATATATGACATTACGGGAGAGCATCAATTTAAGTTCTTAATAACCAAGTCATTTTAGTTCATTTTGTTTGTTAAACACCACCAAAGAGACCCTGAAACAACATAACTTTCTATATACTAAAAATTCACAGTACCAAGTGCAATACCCTCTAAATTTGCAAATTGAGTAGCAATCATATTGCATACTCGACTAATGTTCCCTTAGTTTGAAGGAACGAACAGGTAAGTTATATGTATAGTTCTGAAATGACTCATCTATAAAGAAGAGTGACTTGGATCAAGATGGAGTTGTTTCCAAATTCAGAAACATCCTGACCAGAAAATTCCGTATCAACAAGACCAAAAAATATGGCAAGAATCATAACACCCACGTCCTAAAAGATGAATCAAGTTGGAAAATCTTAGAATTACAAACCTCTCCATAACCATACTTCTCGTGGTACTGTCTCTGAATAACAGTGCTAAAGAAAAGAGACGCATTGTAGATGAGATATGAAGAGTGCTTCGTAAGATTCAGAACCAGAAAGTCGAAATTCAACCCCACAACGCTTCCAAACGAGAAATCAATAAATAAATAGACAAACAGCAACCAAATGGATATATCAAAACAAAAAGATGAAAAATTAAAACAAGCCTTAGACAGGGAAAGAAAAAAATAGAAATCATTGCAGAAATAAGTAAGAACGGAATACCACTTTCTCCTGAAGTTCAAGATAACCTGTGGATAGAAACTGAGAGACCAAGAAAAGAAAGCAATCCAACCGAAAACGTTGTAGGTGATTTCGAGTGGAAGCGAGTTCCATGATGTCATTTCCCCTTCTCCCGATGCACGAAATTGAGCTAAATCGCTTCGCTCCTAGTTTACGGGAGACTTTAAAAGCAATAATAAACTCCAAAAACCCCGCTGAACTATGGATGTGTGTCCTTTTACTCCCTGAGATTTAATAAATGTTAAAAATACCCTCTCTAAACTTTCATTTCACGTGTATCAAATAACCTCTTCCGTTACAAAAATGAACGGAAAATAATCATGTGCCATCACGCGACTTTTAAGTTTTCCAAAATACTCAATTTGCCTTTTTAAACATCTACCCCTTTTTCCCTGGTTTTCTTCGTTAAAAGGTTTTTCCTTGAACAACGAACCCACATACATCTACAGTTCTCTACGTAGATGTTCCCGATTCACCACATACATCTACAGTTCTCTACGTAAATGTTCCCATAGGCGTGGCCGCGTGGGCAGAGTTCTCGTGGAGAGGAGATCCGGAGTCCTCTACGTAAGCTGTAACCAAAGCCCATGATCATGTGGGATCTAAAAGCCAAAGCTCTTGATGCTTCATTGGTGGTGGGGACACATGATAGTTAAACCGGTCTAGCATACCAAACCAATTCTGATGGCTGGTTTGTTTGTCCGACCACTCCGCGGCTACAGACGCAATGAACGAGCTAATCCTCTAATACCCCCATGTATCTCCAACGTTGAAATGGAATCTTATATAGGCTCCACACGCGGCAAATAGTATCTATAGATCGACTATTCGAGATATGAATTAGGATCTGTTCATCACAGAACGCGCCTCACAGCCATATCTCACCTTACATTAGGAAGATCTCCCATGAATAATAAGTACAAATACGGGAGAAGTTCTCGATGTGCGGCCACGACATATTGTGAGGTTAGCGTGAGGTGCGTTTTGTGAAGAGCAGATCCGGACTCTCGAGATATATGTATGCAATGTATAAATGCTCGCTCTCTCTGTCTGTGTGTCGAAGTTAAACAACCTTGACTTGTCGTGTGTGTTGTCGTGACTTGTAGTTGTAACTTGTAACATGGCCTTCTCACGTATGAACTGAAAGTCTAAAACGGACAGGTTACTAAACGCTCAGAAATCAGAATTCCCAACAAGATTTCGAGCAAGCTTAGACAGAGAAATATTAATTAATCGGATCTGAAGCTAGAGAACTCCGATTTTAATCTGCCCTGCGTTTGACTTTGGCAGATCTGTTTTCATATGATTCATTGGTCTATCACTCAATTGTCTTCACCAACACTGACCCCATAATTCTAGAATAGAAAGGACTCCATCTGAATTCGATTGTACAAGTGAAGACTTTAACAGATCCCCACAGGTGAATCGGTTTTATTCACCTTTCTCCCTAACTTCGATGTTAGCTTTCTAAATACAGTTCTTAGGGTTTCTACTTTTTTGTGCGAAGTAATTTGAGAATGCTTTTTTTTCCCTTTCTAAATCCGTAACTCGTGATCTAGGGTTTTGTGAAGAATCTGAACGGATTTTGGCTGTAGTGTCTATCATTTGTCTGTTGCAGATCTGAATTTCGGCTGGAAAGGGAAAACAGCACTGCCTGCTGCATTTCGGTTACTCTAGATCAATATGCCTGAGAATTACGAGAATTCTAAAGCAGAGCAGGTCGTAGGAGGTTCTGACGCTCCCGATAATAGGGATGGAACGTCTGGTGGGAAGGAAAACGAAACTGAAGATATAGGGTCGTCTGCAGAACCTAGAGATATTCCGGATCCATTGTCTTATTCCGGCGACGAAGGGGTGAGTGGTTCCGTTCAGAACTCAGAAGACATTGGTTCAGATGAAAATTTGGTAAAATCCTCTGAAAACGAGCAGAAAGAATCGGGAATGCACTCTGAATTCTCCGTTGATACTCAACAAGTACCCTTGAATGTTGGCGGTGAAACGGGAAGTGTGAGTAGAGGCGAAGTTCTGGTCGAACATGTACTATTGAAAGACGAAGGCTCCATGAAGGGTAATGAGGAAACTCCCGTTGTTGAGATGCACTCTCCTGTGGTTCAGGTAAGGGATACGACAACTTTTGATTCTACATTTTTTGTTTCATTTTCTCAAATTTGCATTCAACAATTTTTAATTGCACGGGCATTTGGAATGGAATATATTTTAATTATTATATTTTCATGCACTAAAAGATATCAAATACAGGATTCCGGTTTTTTGGATGTGGGACACAGCAATGGGGTTTTGGAAAACTCAGACCACTCTGTACAGCGTAACCTAGATGGTGGAAAACCAACTGATGATGTAGGCAAGGAAGAAACGTTTGTTGATGCCTCAGACCAGCTATCCTTTTATGATGGGAGGAATACTGATGCTAATGAATCTGTGCCCATTATTGAAGCCAGTGATAATTCAGAGAAGAAGCTTAATAGTCAGGAATCTAACCTTCAGGTGGTGGAGGATGGAGGAGAAGCTAACAGTTTGATAGAAGAGGTACGACTGCAGGGTATGCTGGACAAGCTCATGACTGAAAAAGAAGTTATGGCACAGGAATTTAAGGTCAAGGGTCTGACTTTATGGGTTTTGGTTTCCTTTCTACGAGTCAAGATTGATTCTTATTGGAGTGTATACTTGTGATGCAGGAAGAAAGAGAGTCATACAGGAGAGAACTTGCTGGTCTTTACCACCAACTCAAGGGTCTGACTAGCCAGCATCGATTACTTGATGAAAGTGACAATGGTTTTGTTGATCATCTTCATCAAGAAGAAATGGAATATAGAGAGGATCAAACTCAGGTTTCTGATGCCCGATTACAGGTGATGATTAGTGACTGTTCCAAATTCACCTTACTTCTTAAAAGCGCATTAGATGAACGGTCACAGACTGAGGGTACAGTGAGAGAATTTCATGCTGTCCTTTTCACAAAGGACCAAGAGATTGAGGACCTCAGTGCAAAGGTCACTGAACTCAAAGTGTCCTGTGATGTTGTTGTTTCGTATTTGGAGGCACAATATACGTCATGGTCCAACTCTTTGAAAGAATCATCTAAACTTTGGTTTGAAACGGACCAGCATGTTGAATTTGTTACAAATAAGCTGTTGGCTTCCCTTGCCTCAGTTGTTCAACAAGAAGAACTGTTGGATTGTTCTATTACTGAGAAGATAGCTCATGTTGATAAGGGCATGTCTATGATGGTTGAGAACTACAACAAGTTGCTTTTTGAAATTGATCAACTTAAGCAATGTTTGACTGAAGTCAAGTCAGATTTCAGGCTGTCAGAGAATATTGAATATGGAAGTATTTTGGGTATGGTTCGTGATGAGTTACTCAATTCCAAAAAAAGGGAATTTGATTTGGTTGAGAAATTTAACCGGTTGGAAAATGAAAGAAGGGAATTGCTGGACCAAGTAAATAATGAAAAAGAAAGTGCACAAATGGTAAGTTCAGAACTGAGACAAACCAAGATGGAACTTGAGCAGGAAAAGATCAAGTCTGCCACTGCCAAAGAGAAGCTTAGCTTGGCTGTAACAAAAGGTAAGTCATTAGTTCAGCAGAGGGACTCATTGAAGCAGTCTCTAGCTGAAAAAAACAGTGAGCTTGATAGATGTTTGCTTGAGCTGCAAGAGAAATCAAATGCCCTAGAGACTTTGAAAATTGATACAGAGGACTTGGTCAAAAGCCAGAATTTAGCTGCATCACTCCAGGAAGTTCTTTCACAAAGAGAGAGAGTTCTTAAGGATATTGAAGATATCCTGTCTCAGATTGATACACCTGAGCAAATTCAGCAGGTGGATCTTGTAGAGAGAGTGAGATTGCTTGTGGATCAGAGAAATACATTGGAAGTTGTTTCCTTGGAATTCCACAAACTGAAGGATGCCTTATATTTGATTGATCGACCGGAAAACATTTCATCTTCTAATTTTGAATCCCAAGTTAACTGGTTCGTGGAATCATTTTACCATGCCAAGGATGATATAATCAAGTTGCAGGATGAAATTGCTGTTACCCAGGAGGTTCTTGCTGCACATAAAACAGAATTGCTTGAAGCACGCAATGAGATTGATAAATTAACTTTATCACTTTCTGCAGAAAAACAGGAAAAAGGTTCTCTTCAGATGGGGTTGGATGACCTGAGATACAAATATGAAGGAATTGTTGAAAAAGTGCATCAAGTCTCTTCTGAGAAGGATCAGATGATAAGAATGTTTCAAGAGGCTTCTGGAATTGAAGTGGACAATCAAGAAGGTACTGATCATCCTGCCTTTGACTCTGCTGTGTTAGTAGAGAAATGCATTGGGAAGCTTAAAGAACAAATAGGCACATCATTTGAATCTTCTCATGTTGACTTGGAGAAGTTTGAAAGAACCAAAGACCTTTTATACATACGGGATCAAGAAATGACACTGTGTCTCAAGTTATTAGAAGATGATATGCTGGAGAGATCAGAGATAACTAATCTGTCAAATGAGCTAAAGAGAGCATCTCAGGAAATCACAACATTGAAAGAAGAAAAGGATTTATTACAAAAGGATCTTGAACGGTCTGAGGAGAAATCTTCTCTAGTTAGGGAAAAGCTGTCCATGGCAGTGAAAAAAGGGAAGGGACTTGTTCAAGAAAGGGAAGGGTTGAGACGTTCTCTTGATGAAAAGAATACAGAAATTGAGAAATTAAAGTTTGAGTTGCAGCAACAAGAGTCTGTGGTAAATGAACGCAGAGATGAAATTAATAGATTGTCTAATGATTTGAAACACATCCAAAAGCTGGAATCTGATCTTGATGATATGAAAGAACAGAGGAATCAACTTGATAAATTCCTGGTAGAAAGCAACAGTGTGTTACAGAGAGTAATTGAGGCTATAGAGAGTATTGTTCTTCCTGTTGATGCAGTTTTTGATGACCCTGCTGAAAAACTCAAGTGGCTTGCAAAGTGCTTTCATGAATATCAAATTAATAAGATTAATACAGAGAAGGAGTTTGAGAAATTGAAAGAGGAGGCCCGTTTGCTGGCTACCAAGTTAGCTGAGGCTGATATCACCATAAAATCACTGGAAGATGCATTGTCACAGGCAGGGAATAATTTCTCGCTTCTTGCAGAAGCAAAAAGGGATGTTGAAGCTGGCAAGACTTATGTAGAACAAGAGTTGGAAAGAGCGAAAGAGGAAGCTAGTTCTCAGGCTAGCAAATTTGCAGAGGCTTGTGCAACTATAAAGAGATTGGAAGATGCACTATCAGTGGCAGAAGATGACAGAAGAGATGCCCTAGCTGGTAAAGCTTCTGTAGATATAGAATTACAGAAAGTCAAAGAGGAAGCTGATTCTCAGGCCATTAAATTAGCAGAGGCCTACACGACAATAAAATCATTAGAGGGTACATTGTCTCAGGTGGAGAAGAGCGCTTCTTTGTTTGCTGAGGAGAAAAATGATGCTGAACTTGGGAGAGCTCATTTGGAGACAGAGGTAGAGAAGGTGAAAGAGGTAGCTAACTCTCAAGCTAGCAAACTGGAAGATGCCCATGCAACTATAAAGTCACTGCAAGGTTCATTGTCTAATGCAGATAATAACATCTCAGTTCTTGTTGAGGAAAAGAAACTTGCTGACCAGGAGATAATAATGTTAAATACTAAGATAACTGCTTGCATGGAAGAGTTGGCAGGAGCTCATGACAGCCTAGAAAGCCGGTCTGTGGAGCTTTTGGGTCAACTTAATCATCTTCAAATGTTTATGAAAGATGAAACTTTGTCATCCTTGGTTTCCAAGGCCTTCAAGAAAAAATTTGAGAACCTGAGAGATATGGACCTTCTTATTACAACTATACGAGGCGAGTTTGTCCAAATGGTTCCAGAACAAGAGAAAATTCATATTGGTGAGGTAAGATTTAAATTTTGTTGTTATATACTTGTGTTCATGTGTGTGTAATAAGTAGGTAGGTGAGTATGTCTCTTGGGGTTGTCAGGGAAGCTGACCTGAGCCTTGCACAGTTTGGCTCAGGGTCAGCTTAGCTCATTTAAGTTTTTATTTATTTTTTATTTTTTTTAAAACTAGGTCATCCATGATTTGCAAGCCTATGAAGCCACTGAAGGCCTGTTGTCTATAGAAAATTCATTCCTTTATATTCAAAATAGCAAACAGCTCCTTTTTGTTCAGCTTATATCTAATCTATAGCTAAATAGCTAACCAATGCTGCAGTTAAATTCTCCTATGCCTGGTTCAGGCTCATTTATCTAAATGAACTGGATTTAAAGGTCTCTCTCAGCTTTCAAGCTTCTAAATTTAGCTGAGGCTCAGCTCATAGTTGGCTTATTGACTGCCCTAGGACAAATGGCAAACCATACAGAAAGGGTCTGTAATCACATGCAGTCATTGTGTAATTCTGGTCACTGGAGTGTTGCTGAAGTGTTTCACAGTTCATTTGTGTTTTGGAGTTGCTGAAGAGCATGATCCTACTATTGTTCAAACTTTGAAAGTATAAAAGTGCTTTTCTAAAGGCCTAGGAAAGTAGTGGAATGTTAGAATAGCATTTTTTAGGGGCAAGGGAAAACAATTTTTCCATCTGAGTGCATCTTTTTTCAAATGCCTTGCCAAACCTTTTTTCTTTGAGAGAAATGGCATATCATTTTTCTTGATATCTTAGTTGAGATGTTAATGATTTTTATGAGCTACACCTTTTCTGGGTTTCCAGAGCAAATGTTTCAGGGCTGTTTGTATCTTGAATTGGATTCTAGCTAAAAGTCAAGACATTTGGTTTGGATTCCACATGGAAATTTTATAATCACTTGGATTCTAGAATTTGAATATTAGAATCTTGATTCTAAAATTATAGATGGGATTTCCAGGGTTCAATTCTAGAATTCAAATCTTAGAAATTCTAAAATTCAACCAGCCATTAGAATGCTATCTAAATCTTTTCATTCATAAGATTTTCTATTAGTTTATGTGACAATTTTGTTGGGATATTATTTTCTGTTGGAATGATCATGTGTCACCACCACATGTTGATTTTGTCCACCTTTCAAAGAGAATTTTAACAACTCCTTCAGAGTTTGTTGGTCTTTTTCCCTTTTAACTCCATATTTGTGATTTTTAGAATTATTTTATTTACTTGGCAGAGTTATTCACTTATTGGTGTATGTATTTCAGAAAGATATTGATGCTGCAAAACATTTCCTGGAAGATTTTGAGAACATGCCAAATGGAACAATGAACATTAGTGAGATGGGTGCATCAGATCTTGAGAATATCCCTGCATATTTCACAAAGATTGTGGAAGGAGTTAACATGAAAAACAAACTTTTACAAGATATGTTTGAAGTTTTCTCCAGTCTTATGGATGAGTTTATTGCAGTTCTATTGGGAAAATTACAGGCAACAAAGCATGAAGTCATTGGGATGCTTCAGCACACAGAATACTGGAAGCAAAGAATGGGGAGTTTGGAAGCTTGTAATCAAGCCCAAGAGAAGACAATATCTGAACTCCAGAATGATATAACTGTGCTACTGTCTGAATGCTCAAAACATATGCAAGAACTACAGTTTGAAGTTGATAACAACTTACAGGATCTAAGCATTTATACTGAAGTAGAGAAGTTGAACCATGGCTTGTACTTAGGAGCAGGAGAATCTGATAATACAATAAAAGAGCTACAGGAAAAGCTTGGTGGCTACAAATATGTAAAGGAAGCAGAGAATTTGTTATTGACTACAAGGAAAGTTCAGAATCAAGTTAAGCAACTAGCTAACATAGGGAATGTCTATCTTACAGATCTGCAAAATAAATTGAAAGATAGCAAATTAACTACTGAGAATTTTATAAAAGAAAGAGAGTTATACCAGGATAGGGTTCACAAGTTGGAGAGTGATTTAGAAGAACTACAAAACTTTTGCAATCAGATGAAGTTTAAACTGGAGGATGCTCAGGCCAAAGAGGGTTTATTGAGGGAAAGAGAAGCTGAACTTTCAGCACTGTCATTGGCAATGAAAGGACAAGGTAATGTGCATTGAGTCAATATCACAGAAATTTTATACTATAGTCATGGTTGGTGTTATCTTCTACTAACTTATTTGTTAATCTTACTCATTATACATGCAGATGGGCATCTCCTGTCAGAAGACCAAGTTCAAACACTCTTTGACAAAATAAATGGGGTTGGAATTCCTTTTGCAGAGACAGAACTCAGAAACACAGAGGCCCATTGTTCAGGTCTTTTTGACAAGCTACTTCACACTATTGACAGATTTTCTGAGTTGCAGCAACATATGATTTCTTTATCTCATGAGAAGGAAGAGTTGCAATTATGCCTTGCAGCAGAAACTCGTGAAGCTGAACACCTGAAGAAAGAAGCTGAAATTCTTATTAGAAACAACCAGAACTCAGAAAAGATGGAGAGTGATTTATCTGATTTGTCATTAGGTTTGGAAAAGATTATTCAGAAATTGGGAGGACATGATTTAGTTGAAGACAAAACATCTATTAGTGCAAGGGGGCTCTTACCAATCCTGGAAAGGCTGGTTATGACCATTCTTCAGGACACTGAAAATTCAAAATCAAAAACCGAGGAACTGGGAGCGAAGTTGCTTGGGACTCAACAGCTTGCAGAGGAACTGTCAGCCAAGATAAAACTACTTGAAGCCTCAACTCATGTAAGGCCTACTATATCAGATACTGTCCAGGAAAGGAAAATCTTTGAAGCACCGTCAACAACAACAATTTCAGAGATATCTGAAATTGAAGATGTGGTAATTTTTCTTTTTTGTGCTTTCCATATTTTGCCTTCTGGTTGTTATGTTTATCAGCAGGTTCTTTTGGTTGCTAAAAGAAAAAAAAAAGGATGTATTGGTTCACTTTTTTTTATCAAAAATAAAAGCTTTCATTAAAATGATAAAAATATTATTTATAAGGAAGGGGAGATGACCTATCTTAACTCCCTAGGCAGGGGCAAGAGCCCCCAGAAATGCAATAAAACAGAATTACAAAAGAACCCAAAACATAAATTCCTGAACCACCCCTTGCTTGGCTAACCCATCAGCAAAAGAGTTAGCAGATCTCTTCACCCAATTGTACTTTACTTCCATACCCTTAGCCAGTCGCTTGAAAATTTTCTTTTCATTGCTATAGTTCCACGACCCAGCCTTATCTTGTTTCAGCCACTCTACTACCACCTCCGAGTCACCTTCAACCACAAGCCTCCTTACATTCAATTCCTTTGCCCTTTGGACTCTTTTCAATACCGCAAGAATCTCAGCCCTGAGGGAATCACCTACACCTATTGGGCCTGAAAACATGGTTGAAGCATTCCCGTTCTCATTCCTGAATACCCCCCCAATACCAGATTGCCTTGGGTTCCCTCTACTACTGCCATTAAAGTTCAGCTTTATATATCCAGTAGGGGGAGGGGTCCAAGAAGGACTTAGTCCAGTTCTAACCTGGGCAGAACTAGCAATCTCTTCCCACTTTCTCAACAAGTCATCTAGAGTAAAATCAGTAAATAAAGCTAATTACTTCAGCCATTGTGCCGCCCTTAAGTGGATTAGTTCTATTACATTTTCAATGCTCCTTTCCCTGAGTTTCTTTCTTCCCACAAGGTCCAACGTACAACAGCCAGCACCTCCACATGATCCTTCCTCTTTTCAAATGCCACTTGAAATAAGAGGAAGAAAATAAAACTTTCACATTCAATGGGGGCTTCCACCTACACCCATAAAGGGAGAAGACCCACTAAAAGGTGATAACCAGTCTCTCCATTAGCTTTGCAAAGAATGCACCTATGCAAGGATGAGCAAGTCTTGGGTTTCTTTCTTTGAAGCAAATCACCAGTATTGATTCTTCCCAGGAAAGTTTTCCAATAAGAACTCCCAACCCTAGGGGGAATTGGCTTACAACAGATCTCTTTCATAGGGAAGGAAGAGCCAATGGGACCGAATGTTGATGGTTGAGTTAAGCTTTGGAAAAAAAGGAGACACAAGAAAAATAACCCGAAGGGGATGGAGTCCAGATTCTGGCATCTTCCTTTGTAGGGTCCAAGAACACATTTTCAAGAATACCCAACAAAGACAAGGTGATGTCCATATCTGTATCCCTTATAGCTCTTCTTAAGCCTAAATTCCACCCAATCCCATAACTGGAGGTAGAAGGGACAATGAAGGAGGAGATGGGCTTATTTTTTAGTTCAAAAAGAGCATACAAAGAGGGGAATTGATCCTTCAAAGGGGGTATTCCCCACCCAGGTTTGTTCCCAAAACTTTATAAGGTTGCCTGAATTTAAATCATATTTGATCAAAGGGGAGAAAGTTGGTAGCATATCATGAATGGCTTTCCAAGGTGAAGCACTTGTAGTCCTCACCAGAATTATAGGATCCCATCCATTGTCCTCGAGCCCATGAATGCTAACCACTATCTTAACCCATAACTTCTCCTTCTCTAGAGGGAACCTCCATAACCACTTTCCCAACAAAGCCATATTCCTTTTCTTAATGTTCCCTATCCTGAGCCTTCCTAATTTCTTGCTTCTAGTCACCACCTCCCAACCCATTCTATGGTCCCTCTTTTCCTCTCCCGACTCCCACAAAAAGTCCCTCATCAGTTTTTCCAACCTATTAAACACCTCTACTGGAATCTTGAACACAAACAAGAAATATATGGGTAAATTGGCTAGGGTAGCCCTAATCAATGTGATCCTTCCCCCAAGAGACAGATAATTCTTCTTCCAGGAAGCAAGTCTCTCTTCAAACCTTTCCACTACTGGACTCCAAACGTTACCTTTCTTGGGATTATCTCCTAGGGGTAAGCCTAAATAATTCAGGGTTCAACTTGAGACTGTACAATCTTGCAAATCTGCATACTCACTGGCCTCCCCTTCCTCCATGTTCACACCCACTGCACAATTCTTCTCAAAGTTCACCTTAAGATTGGACATTTGTTCAAAGAGTTGTATCACCATTTTCAAATTTCTAATCCAGCTTCGGTCCCCTCCCTCACAGAATATGGTTGTGTCATCTGCAAATTGTAAGTGGATAAGTGGAACCTCCTCCCTTCCTAATCTCCACCCTCATAACAAATTTCTCGAGTATACTCTCTCAATAAACCTTCCTAGAACATCTGCCACCAGGGTAAACAAGAATGGAGAGAGTGGGTCTCCTTGGCTTATTCCTCTTATAGCTAGAAAGAAATCCACCACTGTCCGCTTGCCCCATTTACTAACACAGAGTAGTGACAAATCCGGACACATCCCATGGTCCATTTACACCATCTTCCCTCAAACCCAAAATTGATCATCACTACCCTTAGAAAGGATCAATCAACCAAGTCATAGGCCTTTTCTAAATCCAATTTACAAACCACTCCCTTCTTCCTAACCTTCTTAAAATTCTCCACACTTTCATTTGCAATTAAAATTTGATTAGTTATTTGTCTCCCCTTCACAAAAGCTCCTTGGTTTTGTGCAATAATGGAGGGTAGTACTAGCTTTATTCTTAGAGACATCACCTTTGCAATTATCTTGTACAAAATGTTTATCAAGCTGATGGGTCTGCAATCTTTTGGGTGTAAGGCATCTTTCTTCTTTGGACCAAAGCAATAAAAGTGGAGTTCAACCCGGGATTAATCACTCCCCTCCTATGAAATTCATTAAATACTAGCATTAGATCCTTTTTCCAAGATTTCCCAACAGTTCTGATAATAGGTCATTGTGAATCCATCTGGGCCCAAAGATTTTGTTCTGTCCATGAAGAAAATAGCCTCCTTTATTTCCTCCAACTCAAACCTCCTTTCCAGCTTCTCTCTGTTTTCAGCCCCTAGATTTGACCATTCCAGTCCTTCTAACCAAACCCTATCATTTAAGGATCTCCTGAAAATGGATTTGAAGTGATCTATAAATGCCCCTACTATCTCATTCAGGTGGGTAAGGACTGATCCCTCAACTTCCAACCTTGGTGTAGAATTCTTTCTTCTCCTCCTCCCATTTGCTACAGTATGAAAGAATCTTGTATTTTTGTCTCCCTCCTTAAACCATTTTCACTGAGATTTTTGTCTCCAACTAACCTCTTCCTTGTGAAAATAATCCTCTAGCTGCCTTCTCAGCCTCCTCCTTTGTTCCTTGTCTTCTTCTCCGAAGCCTCCCCTTTATTCTTTAAAGTCTAGAGCCTCAATCCAATCCATCAAAATTCGCTTTCTTTCTTCAATTCTGCCAAACTCCAAGAGGTTCCATTCTTTGATCTTTACTTTTAGGAATTGGAGCTTTTTGCGAAATCTCATGCCTTCCCACTTCACTAAAGGGTGACATTGCTCCCACCATTCTCTAACTTTTTTCGTGAACCCTAGGTGAAGTAGCCACATATTTTCAAATCTAAATTTAGTCCTTACAAATCATTATGGGCCAATGATTTGAAGTAAGCCTTGGAAGTGCCTTAGAGGATACATTCTCCAATTCTCTTCCCAATCTGCAGAAAAAAGGAACCTATCCAATTTAGAACAGATTGGGTTTGAGTGGAGATTAGATCAAGTGAATGTCATGTGAGATAAAGGGATCTCTTTAAGTTCAAAGGCATCCACAAAGGTTGAATTTCCTCATATTTGTTGTCACTCTCTGATTAGGGTTGTTAATCTCCTTTGTAAATCTAACCACATTGAAGTCCCTTCCTACACACCATGGTCCATCCCATAAACCCCTAACATCACCCAGTTCCTCCCACATTTCCTTCCTTTCCTTGTAGCCATTTGGTCCATATACATTTGTTAATACCCATTCAAATCCATCCTCCACTTGCTTAAATTTCAAAGATACTGTGTATTTGCCTATTAACTCTTCCATCCCCACAAGCACATCCCTCATCCACAGTGTCACAATCCCTCCTGAGGATCCCCAAGACAGAGCAGCCACCCAGCCGATCCCCTTTGCTCTTCATACACTTCTTGCCCATCTACTATCACAGTCCATTCTTTTGGACTCCTGAATAAGCACTACATCCGGATTGAACTTCTTAATCACCTCTTTAATTGTAGCTCTCTTCCTTGCACTTCCCAATCCTCTCACATTCCAACTAAGAATCCTCATGTGACCTTTTGTTTTACACCCTTCCTACAGCTGCCCTCTACTTCAACCCTTTCCTCCTTTCTCCCTTTACATTAAATTGCTTGTCTCTTTCTACATCTCTTTCTAGCCTCTCAATTTTCTCTTCTTGGAGTTACTCTCCTCCTTTTGTAGGAAAACTTTTAAATCATTCAGGTCTTTCAAATTACACCCCAGTTTTCCCACAAATTCTGCAACAGAATCCTCTCTGCTAGAATCCTCCTCTGTCCTATCCCCCTCGTCCCAAGCCTTCTTATTCCTATTCACTTCCTCCATCAACTCTTCCCTATCCTTCATCCCCTTCACATTGGGTGTACACTTTTCTATAGTGGCTTCACTGTCACGGGCTGCCAGATATGGGATGGGAAAGGAATATGGAGCACAAGACACAGAGCACTCATCAGTAGCAAAAAAAGAAATCACTTGGTTACCTGCACTTAGCTGAGAAAAGGGGGAAGGAGACTGGCTGGTGTTTTCAATTAACCTTCCCTGTTTAGAGGACTGGTTTCTATCCATTTTCTTGGGCTGGTGAGAGAACATTCCCGTCACCTGGCCAACATTGTGATCCCTCTCTCCACCTTGCTGCTTATCCCTATTCGACAAGTTCCTGCTTTGCCTCAAGTTATCCCGATTCGCTCCCCTAATAGAATAGTGCACTTCTTGAAACTTTAG